CTTATCCAGGGCTTCATGTGCATTCTTGACCTCAGAGTCATGGCCTCTAAGGAGTTCCAGTTTGGACACCTTTCAGAGAACCAGTCTCCTGAAGGTCTTCAGCAGGAAGCTGTACCTAGCCACAGAGGACCCAGGTAACAGCCTGTACATTTATGGAGCCCTAGAGTAGGCCTGGGCTCTTTTCTGTGCAATTTCCTCTTTTCCTACATTACCACCCACTTCCATAATGAATTACATTACTTCTATCATGAAACTACTTCCCAAGCAGTCTACCCTTTTGGCACTATCAGTGGGGACCAGGTGTAACAATAAATCTAAGTAATGATAATTGTCTATCATCTATCATTTCCTAGCTTTGCTCACTCAAAGAGCCCAGAAATGACACTCAGCAGCAATGAGCACACCAGGCCCTGGATCTTGGTTTCTAAATGTTATCTCCTCTAAAACAAACCAGGGCTTCCTGGAGAAATGGATGATTCCAGGACTTTTACAGGGAAAGTTCAAGGTGAGCCTGCAACTTCTTTGCCAGATAGCAAAGAAGCAATCAAAGAATAAATCAAAGAATAATGAGGTTCTGTCAAAAGAACGCAGAAGCTGGCCTGAAGGGACTCCCACTGGCAAAATTTTTAATAATTGGAGTACCAAAAAGAATGATTATAGCACATTGAATTAAAAAAAAAAATCCTGAGTCTATAATGTTACTCCAAAAAGAAAAAAATAGGGAGAAAAGGAGAGGGAGTGAGAACTGAGACAGAAAAAAATTTATTCTATAAAAAAGAATACCAGGTAATCAATATAAAAGGAATGCCAGAATTAGAAAATTACCTATTTGCAACCCTCAGTGTTGCAATTCAGGCAAGGACTATCAGTGGATGTGGAGTGAAAGGTTATCAGGAACACACGATTACAACAGCCTCAAAGAATGACTTCGCAGATTACTTATTAATTACAAGGGGGGGGGAATTTACCCTTACAATGGAGAGATTAGAACCAATAATCAAATTTAGTAATGAGTAGTAAGACCCTGACATCATACACCTCCTGATGTGACACAGTAAGAAGTACACATATTGTCAAAAAATCAAAACCCAAAAAAAAAAAAAAAATTCAAAACCAACCTGAATCTAATCACTGATGAACTAATTGAACATATTTAAACAGGTGGAAGGGCTCTATAGTATTTAGATTAAATGAGTTGCTTAAAGAGATATAATCAAATGCAATATGTGAATCTTGACTGGATCTGATTTTAAAAACCAAAAACTAGAGAAAATACTTTTGAGCAAAGTATTCACATATGTGAATGTGAATAATGTGAATAATAATGTGAAAATGTGAATAATGATGGTTATATTAGGTAATACTGACTTATTACTAATTTTCTTAGGCACAACAATGGAATTATGTAGGAGAATGTCATTATTAGGAGACGCATGCTGAAGAACTTAGGGGTCAAGTGTCGAGACATCTGTAACTTACTTTTAAACAATTTGGCTCCAAAATCAAGTGTGTGTGTAAAGCAAAACTGACAAAGTGTGACTTCATGCATCTAGGTGAAGGACTACTTTAATCTTTTCTGTAGGCTTGAAAATTTGTAAAAATTTGTATTTTGAAAGAAGGGAGAAGAAAAGAACACTTCCTTCACATAGGGCCATAGATGTAAACTTCCAGTCAGAATGCCAGAACCTACTAAATAGCCAGACTCAATAAATTACAGATTTACTACTGCTATTAAGAAGCCACTAAAAACTCATAATTTTCTTTTCCAACTGTCAACTGAGTTTTGGAGGGTGAGGATGCCAACCAGGGCTAACCAAAAATGGCTCACAGAATTGCTGGAGGAGTTAGAATTCAAACCTGGGTGGTCTCTATAGACAGACCCACCCATCACCCAGAGAAACCACACCATTGGGCTTGTGTTCTGTGCTCAGATCCAGGTTGGGAGAAGATGGTGTTCAGGCCTTGTTTTTCCTGCCTCATCCCAAACGCAGAGTCTCTACTACCACAGCAGGAAAGAAACTCTCATCGTTGCTCACTGGGAATGTTCACAAACAGGGGCCACTTCTGGGCTTCAGAAATGTTGCGGATGGGCAGAAGGAACGACAGAGGCTGTGTGGGGTAGAGGACAGTGCATGGTGTTTGGTGTTACCTGAGCTGTATCGAATCATGCTCTGCCATTTACCAGCTGTATTGCCCTAGGCCAACTCCTGGGCAGATGATCATGAGTCTAACAATAACCACCACCACAACAGTAATAATAATGGCTAACATTTATTGAGCAGTTACTACTGTGCCACGCACTTTAGGCATGTTAATCTCTTTTAATCTCACAGATGAAATAGATACTATTGTATCCCTGCTTAATGGACCAACCATGCCAGGTCCTCACCTACCCCTGTAATTTGGCATCTGCCATCCCCTCTGCCTAGATTGCAAAGGAAAATCCCGTTCATCTCCCAGGCCCCTCAGCTGGAATTCATTCCTTCCTTCTGTGCATCTCCAGAGCATTTTACGTTCACTGCTTACCTTAGCCAACTTTACTTAAGTAGATGGGTGCCTGGACCCTCTGTTGGGACTAGGATTGCCTCCCTCTATATCTACAGAAGCAGGAAGAATAGAAGAGGAAAAAATTTCTTCCCCTGTTTAGACAGATCCATTTTCCACACCCCAGACTGACTGTCATCTACCAATTGGAAAATTTATCACCCTCTTCTGGATTTTAAAAACTTTTTATTTTGAAATGCTCTCTTGAATTTTCAGTTTGGAATCTAAGGCTTGGGGCAAAATCCATGTGATCACCTGGAAGTACATGCAAGGAGAGTTTCCACTGTGCAGGGAATGGACAGAGCATGGCTGGGTAAATTTCAAGAAGATGCTCAGTGTGAATAAGGGGTCTTCCAGTAAACTGGAGACTTCCCCACCTACATCAGCCCACCAGGGTAAGGTCTCTTTGGCTCAGGCCAGGGTACTATGTAGAGGCACTGTCCTACCCCTCCCCTCCCTGACCTCCCTACACCCAACTGCTGAATCTTTAACCCTGTCTTGCCCAGTTCATATCTCCAAGAAGCTCCATTACCATCAAATCCACACAGTAGGAGAGAAAAGTTGCTTCCTACACTCAGCTGACACACAGGGACCCTGGACAGAGCTGCCCATTGGGGCAGAAGAGGAAAGGTGGGCTGGAGGAAGGACAACACTGGACCTGGCATGACCTCCCTCCTTGCACAGCAATGTATTCTTTCACCTGGTGCCCCCCCCCCAGCAACCATCACCATCCCCCATCCTCTTCCAGAGTTTTCTTTCACCCTCTCAGCTCACTCTCATGCTTCATCTTGTGGTTTTCCTCAGGCACAAGCACCCCACTTCAACTACTTTCTTCCAACTGTCTTCCTGCTCCTCCCAAGAATGATAATTTATAAACATGGGCTTTCAAATCCATCTCCTCACTTCATCCTCACAATACCACAGGAGCGTTGCCTTAGGTTGGCATTTGGAAGGGGTGGGGGAACTGGTCCTGTCAGACATCCTGCAAAGGGCAGGGCATCAAAACTTTGGTTTCTTCCCTGCCACGCACTCCACACTAAACCTCAGTCTCCCTTGAGTGCAGCGGGGAGGGGGAGGAAAGTCTTTGCAGCAAGGGGTCCTGAGTGGTTTTGGGCAAGTCACTTCACTTTTCTGAGTCTCACGTTCCTCAGCTGTAAACACATATGGTGACGCCTTTCAGGGCGTGAGAGTTGAATGAGATCTTATACGTGGCGCACTGAGCTCCAGGGATGGGCTCTTTATTTCTAGTCACAAGGAATGGAAAGTGTTCTGGGCATCCACAGGCCCTTGCCCACTCGGCCACCCCTGCCCCACCGCCTCAGCGCCGCCCACCCAGGGCTCTCCAGGCCTAGGAGGGGTCCCTTTCATCCTTGTGTCTCCGCCCTTCCTTCCCCAGTGCTTTTCGGCCCCTCCACCCAATCCAACCCAGGCTGGCCTCGTTGACTTTTCGGCACCCACTCCCGAGCCCTTGAACCCCCTCTGGGACCTGACCCGTGTCCCCTTTCTCACCTAGAGACTCCGCCCCTCCGTGCCCCACCCACCAAAGACTCCGCCCACAGCCCCCGACCCCTATTATCCGGGCTTTTCTAGCACCATTTCCCTCTGGCTCCTCCCACCAGCTCCGCCCCCCTCTTATAGCTCTGCCCCCTCTGGCTCCCCTCTTCCCGGAACGGGTCCCTTCCCCCGCAGGCGTTGCCAACCCCATTTCACAGATGAGAACGGCGAGGCTGAGTAGATGACCTCTCACGCTAGGACAGGTGCGCAGATGGACCCGCATCCCATCACCGGTAGTCCCCGACCCCCGCGCCCCCTGCCGCGCCGCACCCACCTCCTGCCCTCGCTCTGCAGCCTCCCCTCCGCGGGCGGCCAGCGCAGCTGTGCGAGGCGGGCGGAGGGCCGGAGCCCGGCCCAGGGGCGTGGCGGCCCGCGGCCCACGCGCTGCGCCCTGGGACTTGTAGTTTACCCTGGGCCCTTTGCGGCTCGGCGCCCGGAGCGCGAACTCCATCTCCCAGGAGGCACTGCGATGAGCCTCCCGGCGCCCCACCCCGCCCCGCCCCCGCCGGCGCTCAGGCCGGCTGGCCTTAAAGGGGACGCGGTCCGAGTGGCAGCTCGCGGGGTGGCCCCCGCTCCGGCTCCGCCCCGTTTCCCGCACCTCGCCCCTCCCCCGCTTCGTCCCGCAGCCCCGCGGCCGCGTCGCTCAGTCTCCCTGGGTACATACAGGCTTATGCAGAGCAGGGTGAGAAGACTGGACTTTGCAGTGGAAGCAGCATCCCTCCCTTCTGGGACCAGGAGGAGGGCGTCCCCAACCTGGGGACAGCAGAGGACCCGCCCTGACCTAGCCGGGCCCAGCCTGGTCCTGCCCGGCCTGAGCGCCCCGCCCAGGAGCCGGCTCTGAGTCAGGGCCCACTGGGGTCCAGGAGGTAAGGGGGCTGGGAGCGTGTGTGCTGGGGCGGGGGCAGAGGGGTCTGCACCCTGGCGTTTCGAGAACCCCAGACTCGTGAGCTCAGGGCTGGGAATCGGGAGGTCTGGGTGCCCCCTGGGCCTCGCTGTGTGACCTTGGGCGAGTAGCTACCCCTCTCTGGGCCTCAGCCACCTTCATCAATTGTGTGTCGAGGTGATTCTGTTCCCGCCCTCCTCAGGGCTGAGGGTGCCCGCGCCCAGTAACATGAAGCTTGCTGGCGTTTCATGGGGGACCCCAGACCCAGAGTGGGCTGGACTGGGATGCACTAGTGTAACTGGAGGCAGGAAGGGGGCCCAGAGGCCACCATTGCTTGGAATGGGCTTTTGCTGTTCTCAGCATCCTCGGCCCTGGAATACTCCACCTATAACGGCCCCTGCAAACTGGAGACCCCAAGGTGTCAGCTTGGTGCCCTCCCTTCCAGAAAGCCAGGGGTGGGGGTGGGGGCGCGGCCATCAGAGCTTTGTGAGGGGCAGCCCCTGCAGGGATGGGTGCCTGTCGCAGGTTCCTGAGGAGGGAATAGCTGCTCCTGCCTTCTTCCCTTCTTTCTCTTCGTTCCCCTTCAGCAGAAGAGCAGTTGCTTTTTACCAGTAAATTCGTTTTTCTCTTTCTTTCCAGGAGGCAGTTTGGTGGCCCAGACAAGGGCCTCCCAGTGTAGAGTGAAGGGCTCCTTCCCAGGGCTGCCTTGTGTAGAAGTTCAGTTAAAAAAAATACAGAGAGAAATGCTGCTACCCAGGGACCTGAGGGGCCAGAGATGGGGTCACTTACTAATGTGGCAGTGGTGGGGGCAGCCTGGTACCCCCCAGCAGCTCTGGCTCCCCCAGGGGAGTCAAAGGAGGGAGGCTGGGTATGAGGGTCCGAGAGGAGAGGGAGTGAGCTCCTCAACTCTTAGGTGCTGAGCAGGGGCTGGGAGGGGCGGCTCTGCCCAGGGTAGGGAGAGGTGGAGGGAGACCTTCTTGAAGGCCTCTCTCCAGCTCCTAGAAGATTCTGTGAGCTTTTGACACGAGGGCTAACCAGGAACAGATTTTTTGTTTTGTTTTTGCTTTTTCTTCTTCTTTGGTTGTTTAAATCATTTCTAGAATGGCTAAAGCTTCACCCCGTCCAGTCGAGCGACCTCTGCAGGGACTTTTTGGCTGACGTGTAAGATCTTCTGGGTTACGGATATGCAAGACCAGGCCTGGGCAGAGGAGAGGGCAGTGACTGGACCAAAGGTTAGGAAGGTGCTTTTCTGGTCACATCCTTGGTTTTTATCTCATCTGGCTGTCACATGTCTCTCCTCAGTCACTTGGCACACCTTCACAGATACTCTGTGCTTGGTCCTGTAGTGGGCACTGGGTACTGGGCACAGAGAGGGGGATTGGACCTGCTTCCTACCAAGGGAGGGGCTAGCCTGGAGGGAGAGAGAGGCGTGGAGTCCAGTTACACTGCAAAGGGATGAGCGTAGCTGAGAGGGCCTCGGAGGCCAGAGCTCAGACTCAAATTGTGGAGGGATGAGGAAAGGCTTCCCAGAGGAGGGGGCATGTGAACTGGGCATTGAAGGGTGAGTCAGAATTTGCCAGGAAAGAAGAGGGAGAAGCTCTTTCCCAGCAGAGAGGACGTTACACCAAGTGGCATTCGAGAAAAAGCCCACCGCCCAAGTTCCTGTAGGGTCCCCACCGAACAGTGTTGCTTGAGTTCCTTTCCATCCCTGCCCCGTGTTAGCTGAGTGTCACAGAACAGGCCTGGAAGTCAGGCTCAGGAGTTTGGATCTTTTCCTGGGCCCAGGAGGCTGGGGAGTCTTGACAGTTCTGAGCAGGGGCTCAGCAGGAGGGAGCATAATTTGAAATAAGGTTAACCTGATGATGTTGTAGGATGGGACGGACAGACCGTAGGGGGAGGATGGAGCCTGAGTTGGGGCCCAGGGTGGGGCTCGGGGTGGTGGTGGAGCCGAGCATTGGAGTTGTGTGTGCACGCTTGCATGTACACACACACACACACAGACACACACACACACACACACACACACACTGGGTGCTTTGAGGGTGACAGGGATAAGTCAGGCTCCACAAGCAGGAACAGAGGTCTGTCAACGCATAGCAGAAATGCTGACAGACAGGTAAAGGGATCTGGGACTTCTGGGGAAGGGGTTGTATTTTCCCGAGTGCTTACTGTGTGCCCTGGGGCGTGCTGGATGTTGCTGGGACTCCCAGGCTGTCATGCCAGGCCGAGGGGTACAACCCAAGCGCTGGCTGGAAAAGGCCAACGGATGGGCAGCAGGAAGTCATCTTCCACTTGAGGGTTCAGAGGCTTGAACCTGCCTCTGAACCTGCCCCCATGGCGATGGCCATCATGAAGGGTAGTGGCCAGGCTAGATTCAAAGCCTGGACTCTGTTCTCCTCTGGGACACATGCTGCTATTGGGGGATGGACGGAGGGAGGGAATGAGGAGGTGGCTCAGGAGGCCACTGCGCTAGTCCAGGCAAGAAGTGAAGGGGAGCTGATCTGGGGTGGGGCTGGAGCTCGGGGAGAGACAGTGGACATGTTACATGGGCAGTAAGGGCTGATGGGGGGAAAGCCTTGTAGAATCAGCCGGATCAGCAGTGTCTGACAGTGTCTGTTTCTCCCATCGGGGCCAGACGGTCCAGGAACAGCCCACATCTTTTTTATACCTGGTCTCAACTCTGTGAGTGGTAGGCCCAGATCAGTCCCCATTTTCCAGGTGGGAAGACTGAGGAGCCAGGCAAGGACTCACCCAAGGTCACCTGGTAATTCCGAAGCAGAGAACCTGCGTCTCAGGGTTTTACAGCAGGCACTTCTGAGGGAGGACTCGGCTGCTGTTTGCTGCTGTGTTTGGTGTGGGGCAGCTGTCCCTTGGGTCAGAGCCAGCATCGACAGGCCATCTCCTCATCTGGGGCCTAGCGGGGTAATCCAGCCAGCCTGAGGGAGGCACAGTGCAGGTTCTCACCCTGCCCTGCAAAGGCCACGTCCCTCCCTCTCTGAGCCTCGGCCTCTCCGTTCCTGCCGTAGGGCTAGCAGTCCTTATCCTGCCTGCCTGATGGGGCCAGGTGAGGTGGAAGCCTCTAAAACCCTTTTGCATGAATGCATCCAGGATATTATTGAGTGGGTTTGTTGGTGACCATGGTGACAGCTGTCCTCAGACTGCCTGCGTGGGAGTGGGGGCAAGTGGGCAGGGCTTGCCTGGCATGGCCAGGCCAGACTGAGCAGAGGCTGCAGGGCCGGCCCTGGAGATCAGGGCCCCCACTGACTGAGCTCCCAGCAGCCAGGCACAGCCCCTCTTATGTGGTATTAGGCAGAACCATATGAAATTGTCAATATTTGATTACTCAGTTTCATGTGGTTCAATCTAATATCATTTATCCCCATTTTACAGAAGAGAAAAGAGGCTCATGATTTACTCAAGGTCACACAAGGAGCTGGGCCTAGAATGTGGGACTCCTCATTCCTAGTCTGATTTTCTTTCTACTTCCAAAGCCTTACCTGGCCCCAGGACTCCACTTCGGCCTGCCCTCATGCCCTCTTCCTTCATGCATGATGCCAGCACCTCATTGATTAGGGTTTCTCTTTAGATGCCTGAGTGCCAGGATGTCTTGGCGTCCTGGGCTGAAAGCATATTAAATCCACTAGCCTATAGGGTAAGCTGTCCCAGGGGTCTGGGAGGAGGGACTCTTCCTGCAAGGGAGGACAGCCATAGCAACCGCCTTGTCACAGGCACGGCCTAGGAAAGACAGGACCAAGGCTGAAGGGAGACCAGCCTTTTTTTTTTTCTTTGAGACAGTCTCACTCTGTTGCCCTGGGTACAGTGCAGTGGCATCATCACAGCTCACTGCAGCCTCAAACTCCTGGGCTCAAGTGATCCTACTGCCTCAGCCTCCCAAGTAGCTGGACTATAGGCATACACCACCACACCTGGCTAATTTTTTCTATTTTTAGTATAGACTGGTCTCGAACTGGTTTTTAAAGACATTTTTAAAGGCTTTTGAGGTTATGCCTTGCAGCCAGGTGCAATGGGTCATGCCTGTAATCCTAGCACTCGGGAAGGCTGAGGCGGGAGGATCACTGAGCTTAGGAGTTTGAGAACAGCCTGAACAAGAGTGAGACTTCATCTCTACTAAAAATATAAAAATTAGCTAGGTGTGGTGGTGTACACCTTAGACTCAGTTACTCGGGAGGCTGAGGCAGGAGGATTGCTTGAGCCCAGGAGTTTGAGGTTGCTGTGAGCTAGGCTGACGCCACAGCACTCTACTCAGGGCAATGGAGCAAGACTCTGTCTCAAAAAAAAAAAAAAAAAGGAAAGAAAGAAACGGTGATTATGCCTTGCACTGGCTCTCTTTACAGACTTATATATCTCTACCACCAGACTGGAAGCTCCTTAAGGGCAAGGACTTAGCTTCTAAAGCAATAGAATTGATATTTTCTGAGAACTTCCTTGTGTGAAGCACCATGCTAAGGACTTTATATTAATATTTGCCGTCACAACCCTGCAAGGGGGAAAAACAGAGGCTTAGAGAACATAAATAACCTTTATGGTAAACAGAGTGCATCCCAGACGAGCTTCACTCAAAGAGTGAAAAAGCAGAGTCTAACACACTATGCCCGCCCCTTCCTAGCTCAGGAGGCTGGGGCAGGCCCTGAGCGTCTCAATTGTTAACAAACGCCCAGACGATGCTGAGGCAGCCAGGCCAGCATTTGGGAACCACTGAACTCTGCCATGACTACACCTCTGGCCACAGTGAACTTTCAGCTTTCATTCTTTTTTTTTTTTTATTATTTTTTTTTATATTTCCATACTATCTTACAGGGCTAAGCTTTCATTCTTGTTTTGTTGTTGTTGTTGTGTGTTTCATGATGCTTTGTTTTAATTAACTCTTAAGAGGCACACACTCTTGGCGGGCGGGAGATGCCAGCCACAGGCAGATAAGCTCTGGTCCCTGTCTAGAGGAGCTCACAGCCTGGAGAGAGAGGCACTTAAACAGATGGGCGTGTGGCGTCCTAACACATGAAGCAATGGAGGTTTGGTCACAGCTGAGAACTAGGACAGAGAGGCGGCTGAGACTTGGGGTATGGCACATAGTGGGGGTTCCAAAATATCTGTGGTTCTGAATAAAATTTTCTAGCCCTATTATCCAGGAGATTTCTGGTTTGTCTTCACATCGGCTCCAGGTCTCAAGAATAGTTTTTACTGAGGCCAGTAAGTTTAGTTAAACACCTACTATATCCTGAGCCTTATGTCAGGTCCTGCCTACAGTGGGATTATACAAGGAAGCAAAGAAATGGCCCTGCCTTCTAGGAGGGGACAGTTAGGTGTAAGAGAGTGAGCTGCACCGCTGTGAGCCAGCCTGAGAATCGGTAGGCGAAGTCGGTCGGCGTGGGACAGACAGAGGCTTCCAGGAGACAGCCGGGATGGAGGGGAAGGGCAGAAGGAGGGTTATGAGGTAGAGGTGGCTCATACTGTTCTCTGCACTTGCTAATCCAACACACACCCACTGTGCACTAGGCGCTGAGGATACTGTGGGGAACAAAACCTGACAAGGCCATATAGAGCAGTGGTCCCCAACCTTTTTGGCACCAGGGACCGTTTTCATGGAAGACAATTTTTCCACGGACAGGGAGGGAGGGGGATGGTTTCTAGATGATTCAAGCACATTACATTTATTGTGCATTTTATTTCTATTATTACATCGTAATATAAAATAAAATAATTATACAACCCACCATAGGATGGGGACCCCAGATAAAATATTATGGAGGAGGCTGACCCCAATCAAATAATCATAAGTGCTACAAAGGAGACAGACAGGATGTTCTAATTTTTTTTTTTTTTTTTTGAGACAGAGTCTGGCTTTGTTGCCCAGGCTAGAGTGAGTGCTGTGGCGTCAGCCTAGCTCACAGCAACCTCAAACTCCTGGGCTCAAGCGATCCTGCTGCCTCAGCGTCCCGAGTAGCTGGGACTACAGGCATGCGCCACCATGCCCAGCTAATTTTTTCTATATATATTAGTTGGCCAATTAATTTCTTTCTATTTATAGTAGAGACAGGGTCTTACTATTGCTCAGGCTGGTTTCGAACTCCTGACCTCGAGCAATCTGCCCGCTGTAGCCTCCCAGAGTGTTAGGATTACAGGTGTGAGCCACCGGGCCCTGGCCAGGATGTTCTAATTTTTAAGCATTAGAATTGGACCCAGGTGGGGAGGTCAGGCCAGGCTTCCTGGTCTACAGGGGAGGGAAGTACCCACACAAAGGCCCAGGGGGGAGGGCACTTAGCCTAGAGCGAGGGGCCCTGTGGGCTGAAGCTGGAGGCAAAGGTGGGACCCTAGGTGCACAGGGCTGTGGAGCCAGGCCTGGTGGCAGGCCTGGGCACAGAGAGGGGACGGAGACCCATGCTAACCCAGCACTAAGTCATCCTAGCAGTACCGGAGGAAGAGCGGCAGGTGGTTGTTGGAATTGAGGGTAGATGGATTCGGGTCTGGGGCATGAGGCGTGTTCTCAGTGAGAACAGGTGCTTTAGGGCTTTGAGGGGAAAATAGGAGTTTGCCTGGTGGAGTGGGGGGGTCGCGAGATGGATGCGTCAGGCAGAAGCGCTCACAATGAAGCGGAGTCTTGCAAAGGTGCGGGTCATTTGGGAAAGGCCAGGAGTGGGAGAGATTAAAGTGTGCAAGGGATCACGGGAAGGCCTGCTGGCTGTCCCTGGGGCCTTGCACCTGTCCTCCCTGGGTGTGTGTCTTCTTTGTGTGTGCCTCATCTCATCTCCCATGGATGTGACTTCGCTAAGACTCTGGACAGCAGTTTCTAGATCCAGCTGCTGCCTGCCCCAAGAGTGGGTGAGTTCACCAGGGAGGCCTGGGGAGAGAAGCAAAGGGGTGAGGGTGGGGGAGGCTCACGCAGCCTTTGTGCCATTACTTAGCTGCAATAGCGACAACTGTGTGCCAGCTGTCGAGCTTTACTTCTTCAGGATGTCTCCCAGTGGGGTGGGCGTCCTTGCCGCATTTCGCAGTTGGCAGAACCGAGGCCCAGAACGGTTGAGTTGCTCGCCCAACGTCTCAGCACTAGGGAAATACCCGGGCAGCTGGAGCCACAGGACCGCCGGGCGGAGTATGACCGCACTCCCTGTCCCCGCAGCCGGCGCCATGGACAAGATCTTGGAGGCGGTGGTGACGTCGTCGTACCCGGCCAGCGTGAAGCAAGGGCTGGTGCGGCGCGTGCTGGAGGCGGCGCGGCAGCCGCTGGAGCGGGAGCAGTGCCTGGCGCTGCTGGCGCTGGGCGCGCGGCTCTACGTGGGCGGCGCCGACGAGCTGCCGCGCCGCGTGGGCTGCCAGCTGCTGCACGTGGCGGGCCGCCACCACCCCGACGTCTTCGCCGAGTTCTTCAGCGCGCGCCGCGTGCTGCGCCTGCTGCAGGGTGGCGCGGGGCCCCCGGGCGCGCGCGCGCTCGCCTGCGTGCAGCTGGGCCTGCAGCTGCTGCCCGAGGGCTCGGCGGCCGAGGAGGTGTTCGCGCTGCTGCGGCGCGAGGTGCTGCGCACCGTGTGCGAGCGCCCGGGGCCCGCCGCCTGCGCGCAGGTGGCACGGCTGCTGGCGCGGCACCCGCGCTGTGTGCCCGACGGCCCGCACCGCCTGCTCTTCTGCCAGCAGCTGGTGCGCTGCCTGGGTCGCTTCCGCTGCCCGGCCGAGGGCGAGGAGGGCGCCGTGGAGTTCCTGGAGCAGGCCCAGCAGGTGAGCGGGCTCCTGGCGCAGCTGTGGCGCACGCAGCCCGCCGCCATCCTGCCCTGCCTCAAGGAGCTGTTTGCAGTCATCTCGTGCACAGGTGCGTGGGCGGGTGGGGCTGGGGCGGGAGCGCGGGAACGCCGAGGGCCTGGGCAGGTGGCTGTGCGGGCAAGTGCCCGCCTAGTGGTGTGGCAGGTGTGGGCAAGGGGCGAATGCACAGGTGGGGGACTGCAGCGTTCCTTCTTTGAGTTAGCAGACCCATCCTGGGCGCCTCTTCTCCCTGGTGGGCGCTGGAAACGCACATTGCCTGGGGTGGGAGAAGGACGCGGAGCAGTCTGGCCAGAGAGAGGAAGGGGTGGGGTGGGGTTGAGCAGCCAGCAGGATTTGGGGGGCCAGTGGGTTTGATAGAAGTCATTTTTGAGCCAAGTCTTGAGAGATTGGTGGCACCTGGCAGGAGGACAGATGTTCTCTGGGTGGGCACAGGTTAAGGTCTGGAGACCTATGGTGCCTGTAGGTGTTAACCCTGAAACATAAAATCTTGACCCTCCATTGGAAACGGTGGAACTTGGACTGTGGAGTAAATGGCTGACATAGGATCTGTGCCTTCCCTGGCCACAGGGGTTGAGCATGGGAAAGAAAGGGAATGCACTTGCAGGGTGGAGAACCCGGGGGTGTGTATGACGACTGGGTCTTTAGACGAGTGGACAACTGATTTTGATAACTAAGTGTGCTTTCCCACCTAGACCCCTGTCTATGTGGGTCCACCTGGAGCATCCCCTCCCCCGAGTGCACACGCCCCTCCTGCATTTTCTGGCTCCGTCCAGCGTTGCCCCTTCTAAAGTTCTTGCCCGCACACCACAGGTGGAGTCAGCGCCGCGTCTTTGTGCCCGGCGCAGGACTGAGCCACGGCAGTGCTAGTGAAGTCCATTGAGTGACTGAGTTAACGTGGAGCAGAGGCTGTGGTGCTATGGGAGAGCAGGTGGCCCTGTTGTGCCCTTCGCAGAGGCCCAGCCTAGTTCCTTGGCAGCTCAAGGGCTTGCGGTGGTGAGGGTGGGGAGGGGCCGCGTTCCTGCCAGCTCAGCCCAGCCCAGCCCCCTGTTCCAGAGGAGGAGCCGCCGTCTAGCGCCCTAGCCAGTGTGGTCCAGCACCTCCCATTGGAACTCATGGACGGTGTCGTCAGGAACCTCAGCAATGATGACAGTGTGACGGATGCCCAGATGCTGACTGCCATCAGCAGGTGGGGTGCTGAGGGCCCCTTCCTCTCTTCTCCCAGAAGCCCCTTCCACTGGGTGGGCATGCGGGGCTCGATTAGCGTCAGAGGGCCCAGGCAGTCGTCCATCGTTTCCTGAGCTCTGCTCTGGGCCTGGGCTGGATGGGGGGCGGCACACAGAGGCCTGCCCTAGTGATGCTATTGGGCTAGGTACCAGCTTGGTGACCCTGGACTTGCCAGTGAACTCTCAGCCTCAGTTTCCCCCTCTGTAAAAGCGGAGGTGGGTGGTTGTATGAGAAGTCGTTAGGCTTCCATGGGGTTGGATGAGAAGGCAAGAGGACTTTATGACGTGCTTTGTGAGTCTGGCAGCTTCAGTAAGCAGAGCCTGGGTGCTTTTCAGCTCCCAGAGCCCTTGCACTTCCCACCTCACCTGAATGTCGTCATCCCTGTGCTCTGGCCACACCTGCCTGTCTGGTGATCCCAGATCACGCCGCCTCCCCTCCTCCCTGCAGGCCTTGGCCTATGCAGACCCCGTCCACCTGGCATGCCTCCCTCTGCCACTCTTTCCGTCCCGTGTGCAGCTCCATCGGCTCCGTAGGGCCTTCCTGGATTCCTTGTCTTTAGTGGGTAAGAGCCTGGGCTCTAGAGGTAAGTTGCCTGAGGTCAAATCCTGCCACTGCCACTTCTTGCCTGTGTGACTTTGGACAAGTTACTCAACCTCTCAGTGCTTCAATTTCCTCAACTATAAAGTGGAATATAATTGAACCCATCATGTAGGGTTGTGAGGATTAAATTGGATAAAATGAGATGATACATATAAAGTGCCTAGAACAGTGCCATTTAAGTTACTGTCATTTGTTCTCTCACTGTTCTCCCACTTTATAGCATAGTATGAGTATAAAATTCATAATAATTGTTCTCCTGAGCACCTACTATGTGGCAGCTGCATGCTCAGTCCGCTCAGGTGGTGTGGTGGGGATCGCAGGAGTCAGTGCATGTGAAGCTGATAGCACAGTGCTTGGTGCAGGGGGGAGACTCCCTAAGTGTCAGCTAGTATCTTTTTTAATTTGTATAAGAACCCTATGAGGGAGCGATTGTCCCCATTTTACAGAGGAGGAAATTGAGGCTCAGGGGAAGTAGCTTGCTCCGGGTCACACAGCAAGGGCTTGCTAGAGCCAGAGCTTCTGGCCCAGGGCAGTGCTCTTCCAGGCAGAGGCAGCTGAAAGCCGTGTTCTGCCACTGCAGCCCAGCGTGGAGGGGTGAGGTGTGGGGTGCTGAGAGGGCCTGCTCTCTTCCTGGTGGGCTGCGAGCCTCAGTCTCCGGCAGGTGTCTGTGCTGGGTTCATCTGCATTTCCCAGAGGCGTCTTGTTCATCCCACAGACCCACGGCTGCCCTGTGCAGGTGTGAGTCAGTGCGGGAACTCAGGACGTTATGGCTGCTCACGCAGGCCTTTGGGCCTCCCTTGTCCCTGTGTCACTGTCATTTCCCTCTCCAGGATGATCGACTGGGTTTCCTGGCCCCTTGGGAAGAACATTGACAAGTGGATCATCGCACTGCTGAAGGGCCTGGCTGCCGTTAAGAAGTTCAGCATCTTGATCGAGGTTTCGCTTGCCAAAATTGAGAAGGTGGGGGCCCCTGTCCTAGCCTGGCTTACTGCTTTTCCTAATAGTCTCCTGCTGGGGTGGTGCAGGCCTGGGGGACAGAGCACCGGGCCTCCTGCACCAAGCCCTCCTGCCCACTTCCCGTGCCAACTGGGCTAGCTCCCAGCCCCTCTCTGGGCCTCAGGTCCCCCCGTTCATTCCTCTGACTGCTCCTTCAAGCATGCGCATCTTTGTCACTTTCGGACTGTCCATCCATCCGTCAGATATGTCTTCCACCCACGTCTGTGAGCTCCTGCGTGTTCTTGCTCCTGGGTGGGTTTGCTGCTTCAGCTGTAACGTGTCCCTGCCCCCCTCTCAGGCCTGTGACTGCACTCGGCCGCAGGCGGCCAGGCCTGCGGGACTCCTGACCAGGGCCTCTCTTGCAGGTTTTCTCCAAGCTGCTGTACCCCATTGTCCGGGGAGCTGCCTTGTCTGTCCTCAAGTACATGCTGCTGACTTTCCAGCACTCCCACGAGGCCTTCCACCTGGTAAGGCCCTGCCTACCGCCCCAAGGACAGCAGGCCTGGGAGGCCAGATGTGCTGTCTCTGTTCGGGGCCAAAGGGGTTGGGGCTTGAGGCCATGACCTTGAAGCCCTGTTGTTAGGACTGGAAGAGGCCTGAGACCTCCCTGTACAGATAAGAAACTGGGGCCAGAGAATTTGTGTGGCCTCGTCCAGGGCACACAGTATAGTGATGGAGCCTAGAATGACGTCACCTAATGTTCCCTGGGGCCAGCTGTGTGCTAGGCACGGTGCTAAGGACAATACGTATGTTTGTTCACTAACCCCTGCGACACCCTGGGACAGCGGTTCTGTCACGTTCTCCATTTTTCAGATGGAAAAACTGCAGTTTGGGGAGTTAAGTCACTCATTCTGGACACAGCTGGCGAGTGATGCGGTGAAAATTCAAGCCGAGTTGGCCCGACTCCTAAGCCAGTGTCCTCCCTACACCCTGCTGTAGGACCGGTGGCCTGGCCTCTAGCCCAGGGCCCATTTTGCTGTCCTTGGGGCCCTCCCTTGGGAAGGACAGCCTGAGGCCCTGGGGCTGCCCTCCTCACCCTGCCTGTCCCTGGGACCTGCAGATGGGGCCCTAGATTCTGGTGGTCCCTGGTCAGGGCAGTGACACATCAGGCTTCCCAACTTGTCGCAGTGGGAGAAGCTCACGGCCAGGGATTGGCGTACTTGGGGTGAGTCCCAGCTCTGCTGTTGGGATGTAGTGACCTGGGCTGGGCATGTAGGCACTTAGCCTCAGAGCCTGGGACGGGGGAAACGCCTAGGAAAGTTGGAGGGGATTAGATGAGGTGTAGTATTTGTCAGGAGCCTGCCACATACCAGGGGCCCGACTCCTATTTGCTGCTTTCTGTCCTGCTCCCGCTTCCCGAGGCTGACTCTGTTACCATGTCATGGTGTAGCACGTCTGGGTTGGACGGCTGACACTCCATAGCACAGGGGAAAGAATCGGGCTTCGGTCAGACAGACTTGCTTGGGACACCAGCTTTCCTCATAACCCGGGTGAAACCCCGGGCAGGCTGTGTAACCTCTCTGACTTCAACTTTCTTCATCTATAAAAGGAGGAATAACTGCTGCTGCATACAGTTGTTGTGAGGATGAAGTGCTTGATGTGGCGATTTTGCTGGAAGAATGATGATGTTTGCCCCTAGAGGCTGCTGCGCCTGCTCTGTCAGGGCCTACTCAGCTGGCCGTGTGTGTCACTGTCACCCCTGGCTGGGTGCGCAGGTCGTCAGGTCCCCAGGGCAGGTCCGCTGGCTGAGAGCTTGGGCTGTGAGGAGGGTATTATTTATCCTGTTTAACAGATGACAAAACTGAGGCAGGGTGTCTTAGTTTTCGTGTCTGGTGAAAGGAGCCACCTGCCTGCAGAGCTCAGAGCCGCATCTGAGGAAGGGGACAGTGGTCAGGTGGGCAGCCCTCCCTGCCCCAAAGAGCCTTGGGGTGCTTTCAGCAGGGACCCCAGTCCCGTGTCTCAGGTGGGTCAGCTGGGCCGAGCCTAACCCAGCTCTGTTCCCACAGCTCCTCCCTCACATCCCCCCCATGGTGGCCTCTCTGCTCAAGGAGGACTCGAACTCGGGGACGAGCTGCCTGGAGCAGCTGGCAGAGCTGGTCCATTGCATGGTGTTCCGGTTCCCAGGCTTCCCGGATCTGTACGAGCCTGTCATGGAGGCCATCAAGGTGAGTGGCAATCCCCTACTTGTCCCTCACCCTACTCTGACAAAGATGCGAGTTTGGGCCTTCTTCAAGGCCATACCGTGTCTTGGTGGCAGCTCCCCCATCTTTTGGTCCCTGGCTGGCTCCCGCCACCTCCCCAGTCCGTCATGTGCTTTGCGCACACTGAGCTGCCCACCATTCCCCGGGTGGGTCATCCTCGCTCGTGACTGCTCTGAGCCTTTGCATACGCTGTTCTCTCTAACTGTAAACTCTTCTCTTGTTCTGCCTCAATTCTTCCTACTGGTCCTTTAAGGCTCTGCTCAAGTGTTACCTCCCTCAGGAAGCCTTCCCTGATAACTCTCAATCTCCCCCAGCCCCACTCCAGGCTGGGTCAGGACTCTCTGGGTGCCCACAGCCCTGGTGCATCCCTATGTCACATGGTGTCACCGTCCGTGTCCGTCTCCCCGACCAGACTGTGAGCACTGCAGAGCAGGGCTTATCTACACTTGTTTATGTGACTTCACTGGTGTCCTACTCGGTGCCAAGCCTGGGCGGGGAACTGGGCACACAGGCATGAAGCAGACAGAGTCCCCTCCAGTGAGGAGCACGAAGCCGAGTGGGAGTGACAGGCCTGTGCGCGAGAAACTCTGGGCTAAGCAGCTGTGGGAACGTCTGCCAGGGTTGGCCGGAGAGCGGTGAGGAGCCAGAGCAGGGAAAGGTCTCCAGTTAGAGAAGGAAGCTTCAAAGAAGAAAGGGTTTCTAAGCTGGGCTTGACAGGATGCTAGGGTCTGATGGTGACACTTGTAGATAGTGCTGTGTTTGTCACTGTTTTCTCATATATTTTGTCTTCTGATGCTCACAAGAAACCTATGAAGGCCGGGCGCGGTGGCTCACGCCTGTAATCCTAGCACTCTGGGAGGCCGAGGCAGGAGGATTGCTCGAGGTCAGGAGTTCAAAACCAGCCTGAGCAAGAGCGAGACCCCATCTCTACTATAAATAGAAAGAAATTAATTGGCCAACTAGTATATACAGAAAAATTAGCCAGGCATGGTGGCACATTCCTGTAGTCTCAGCTACTTGGGAGGCTGAGGCAGGAGGATTGCTTGAGCCCAGGAGTTTGAGGTTGCTGTGAGCTAGGCTGGCTGCCATGGCACTCACTCTAGCCTGGGCAACAAAGCGAGACTCTGTCTCAAAAAATAAATGAATAAAAGAAACCTATGAAGCAGGTATTGGTATTTCAATCTCAGATACGAGGAAAGAGATTTGTTAAAGGTTTGGTGACGTGTGCCAAGTCACGGAGGTAGTGAGAGACATCCAGGGCTCTGGGTGCCAAGCCCTTCCCTAGTGCTTGATGCAGAAGGCAGGTCTGAGCCTGGGCGAAGATGTCTGGACTGTCATTTCTGCAGCACAGCAGACTAGATAACCTGAAAAGGGTCCCACTCCAAAACATCTAGAGATGCTTGTTAAAATATAACATCAGTTTAAGTTTATAGCTGAGTTTGCAAGAAAGTAGGGGAGAATCCCCAGGAGCCAGAGCGAGACCTGAATTTCAGAACAGTGAAATGAGAAAGGATGGTTTTTTTCCCCTGGGGTCAGGCAGGAGGGTGGGTGAGATGGCCAACTTTAGTCACCAAGGCGCTTGAGCTGGTGGGGACAGGAGGTGCGGCTTGGGGCCTGTCCCCAGTAGGGAGTTGGCACTAAGAAGCCCACTGAAAGTCAGGACCCAAGAAAGGCTTTACTGTTAGCAAAAGAATGATCTGGGAATATCATGTATGTCGTCTTAAATAGATATCAAGGGAACTTTTCTGGCTTGGTCTGGGCCCTGGATTGGGGGAAAATGTAATCAGAGGCCTGCTCACATGTGGGTTGAGGAGTTCAAATTCATATCATCTCTGGGGTTGTGGGACCCCTAAGCTCAGAACTAACATTAAAACTAGTCATAAACTTGTGATGCCCAGGGTAGCCTGGTAGAAACAGGAATGAATCAAACCATAAAGATAAAGTTCAACTGAATGAGTTTATGATTCCCAAATTACAAAACATACAAAAGGACAGCCCACCGTGAATGGAAGTTGGTAGATACAACAAACAGAACCTCGGGGATTTACTTGGATCTCCTCAGTTTTTCAAACTTAACATGAGAAAGAATTTTTATTAGAGCTTATCTACAGTGGAAGGAGCTGTGCCGGGGGTGGAAGAGCAGGGAAACATGACTTCCACGTGTTGGGCGTGTTGCCCCAGGTTGTCAGCGTCAGAAGGGAGGCAGAGCAAGAGCTCTGAGACCCCTTGACTCGCTCTCTGTCTCCTGCTAGATTGTGAGCTTCTGGTGGGCAGGGACCGTGTCCTCTGTGCCCAGTAGATGTCCGAGCAAATGCATGGACTGTCGCCACAGTGTGACTGCAGCGTGGAGAATGCTGTAATATGGGTGTGGACAAGGAGGAGGGGGCGTGGCCCTGCCCTGGGCACTGAGGGAGACACGGGCTTTGCACACTAGGTGCCGATGGATGGTCTGATCCAGGGGGACGAGGTGGGTCTGCCATACCTGTACCAGCAGGTGCAGGGAGTTAGGCTGTATAGGACAGGTGCACATACACAGGGACCCCACTTGAGAAGGTCTTGGAAAGCCTCATAGGGCATGTAGAAGTTGACTTTGACAGGTAGAAACTGGCAAGAGGAGGATACTCCAGTCGAGTCGGGGAGAAAGGCACAGATGTGAGATGTCAGCTCGGTGGTAACGTGTCGGTGGAAGGGGGGTCGGAAAGCTCAGAGTGCAGTGCCTGGAGACCAGGCTGAGTCACTGCTCAGTCCGGCAACTCCGGCCTTCTCAGACGTTTCCTGCGAAGTGCTTGACGTCAGAGGCAGGGGCCTACTCAGGGCAGCCTGATGTGAGCTCAGAGTATCTCTACAATCTCACTTTATCTTGAAGACTCAAGTATATATTTTATAACTGTAAACGTTTGTTTATAGTTTTTTCTTCATTGACTGTTTTAAAAGAATATAGCTCCAGGAAGATGTGCTACATTTGCCCTGTGGCTTTGACTACTCCTTGGTACAAGCCAGTTTGAGAGGCAAGGAAGCAACTAGGGTTTTATTTATAAAAATATTTCACATGTGTTCTATGAGTACATCCTTTTGTATACATGTGCCTTTGTAAATAAGTTCTGGAAAGTTCTCTGACTTAGGCAGATGTATCAGGTGGCTGTTTCTCTGGGAGCTGTGGTACATGCTAAGGGAGCCGTCATATGTGAATTTTCAACAACATTGGGAGCTTGAGAGTTATTTGGAAGATTTTATTTTCCTGAGAATACAAAATTACCTTCTTTGGGAAAAGGGGCATTTGATGTTTTTTTTTTTTTTTTCCAGTGTGGATATTTTTGCATCTTTTCTGCGTGTGTGTGCATGCTGGGTGTGGGGGGTTCTGTCTGCCTGCCTTGTTGTCCTTACTTGCTCACAGTGTGAGTGTGTGGTAGATTAGGAAGTTATGCCAAATTAAGGAAGTAATTAGGCATAATAGGAAGAAAAGGGAGGGAACTAAGATACTGACCCTGTATCATCATATCTCCCCTTGGCACCTCCTTGGTTTTGTTTTTATCACCTTTGAGAGGAGACTAACGAATCTGATAAAGGATCCTGGAAAATGAGTAAGCAAGAGTGTTAAACCACTGCTCTCGGGAGACCTTCCAGTGACCACAGGGCACGCGCTGGGAGATGGGCTTTGGGTGCTAAGCTGGTGAGAAGCCCTGGCGAGCCTTGGACAGACCTAGGGCATTTTGCCCAGGATCTGGAAAGAAGAGGGCTAGAGAACTGTTATGAATGTTGCTCAAATCTGTTAACACTACATTGTGCCTAGATTTTTCTCTTTAAAATATATCTTTGTTAGAACTATTGCTTGGTAATATTCTAGGTGCAGCTGTTTAATGTGACAGAGGATAATGAGTGGGGAAGCATGCTAATAATGTCCAAGGACCTGTACCTCAGACCCCCAGGATCCTCCTGCCATCCTCACTGTAGGCTCAAGTTCTAGGGGGGTGACTAATTCCCCTGAAAGCTGATTCTGCAAATCTAAAAGTAGAAGGTGAAAACAGGAACATCACCGTGTGCCAGCACCATGAAAATGTAGAATGCTAAACTGTTAGAGGGTAGGAGTGTCTTCACTTGGCAGATAGGGAAACTGAGGCCCAAGGAGGTTCACTTACTGAGTCAGAGAAGCTCACTGTCCATGGCCAGACTACTCAGGTAGATCAGAGTCAGGGCTAGTGTTGACCTCTTAACACCACTGGATTTGGCCAGTGTGCCAGGGTTGCCAGTGTTTAGAGTCTGTCATAGCCTGGGCTCTTCTAAGAACATACAGATTCTTCGCTTACTGCCTCTGTGACCCTGGACAATTCCTTTCTCTATTTGAATCTTAGTTTTTTCATCTGTGAAATGGGGATTATATCATCTTAAGGCAGTTGTGACCCAAAAGGTCATGGAGGAGTGCCTCACGTCAAGATGAGAAGCTGGAGTGAGTGTGTAAGCCTCTCTGGAACACGTGTGGGCAGTGTGCTTGGGAGGCTGTGGGCTTGACTGCAGCCCAAGAGGCCTCTCAGGGGAGGTGCTGGTTTTCGAGCTGACCCTGGTGCCCATTGTCCTGCCTCTGTGTTTCCCCCTCAGGACCTCCATGTTCCCAATGAGGACCGCATCAAGCAGCTGCTGGGGCAGGACGCCTGGACCTCACAGAAGAGCGAGCTGGCTGGCTTCTACCCCCGGCTCATGGCCAAGTCGGACACGGGCAAGATTGGTTTAATCAATCTGGGAAACACGTGCTACGTGAACAGCATCCTTCAGGCCTTGTTCATGGCTTCTGAGTAGGTGCTGCTTTCGAATTCCCTGTCTGTCCTTGCTTCTCTCCTTTGGGCTCCCTGGTGACGGGTGGAGAGGTGGTGGGATGGGGGTCGGAGAGAGTGGGCTGTGCTTTGCGTAGCTGACCTGATTCCCTGAGGTCTGTGGGTACAGAGGACCTCCCATAGCCTCGGCTACGGGGGTCGGTCAAGACTGGGTGGGAGCGTAAGATCAGGGCCGGGCTGCAGTGGAAGAAGGTCTGCTCTGGGTTAGTTGACATCACTGACTTTTCTCCGAGAGTCCATGGGAGTGGACTGTGTCTTCCACAGTAGAACCCCCACCCAGCCTGGCATTAGACATCTTTTTTAAAATGGAACAAACACAGTCTTCATTGTCTGTTGCTGCCAATGTACCTTATGGCTTGGTTGCTTAAAAGTCAAAGTTTCAGCTTTGATTCAGTGAAAATAAGCTTCGATTCTGCCTTATAGTGTAACCTCTGGTCACGGCTTATGATGTGGTTTCTCCTCTCTGAGCCTCAGGTTCAGTAGGAGGAGGTTGGAGCTGATCTCCATGACTTCCTAAGGTGCTGCTACTTGTTCTTCTCAAAATGCCTGGTGAAGGAATAGTTTTTTTCCTAACTTCCAGTCTGTTGCAGCCTATTACTTTTATAAAATAATAAGAAAATGACTTACTAGGAAAATGATTGAGTGCTTCTGTGGTTGTAGTCATGATGCAATGCTCTACAAGTTTCTAAATGCCCACCCAATTTCCGAACTTTCCTTGTCTTAGGCCAGCTAAGTGGATCACACTTTGAGTAGCGCTATTCTGCGCAGTGGGCTGTTTGGAGAGATGCATGCCTGACCTGTCCAGAGCTGCTCGTGAGAACAGAAGCTAAGCAGGGTCTGGGAAGTAGCTTGTTCCAGGGAATGTGTGTGTGGGGAGGGCTTGTCCCCCACAGGATCAGACCCCTGTCACTAGGAGCTGATGCCTCATTTGAAGGCAAGGGAATAGCTCAGGGTGCTGTAGGGGCAGGGACTGTAGGAGTACATTGCAGGGCCCAGGCTGGAGCAAAGCATGCGGCTGCGGATGGGTGTGAACACCCTTTCCCAGGGAAGCGGGGCAGGGCGTGTGAGTGGCTGCTGTGGCCGGGATGATGCTGGCACAGGCTCTGCAGCATGTAACAGAGTCCCAGCCTTAGAACCCTGGGACCACAGGACCTTAGGACATTTGAATCTCTCAATCCTGGAGCTACAGAGCATCCGAGCTGGGAGGGACTGCAGGGGTTACCTTGTTGTACCCTTTATTGTCTAAAACACGGCACTGCTGTGTTCCTGACTTCAGACACCCCAGGCTGAGTTGTTGACCAGCTCTTCCTCCCCAGTGTTTGGCCTCAGCCGGAACTAGAAAAATCTGTTCTCTCTCTGGCCAGGCGGCTCTGGGTTGCCTGCAATATGGGTGAATAGAGGTTCTCTGGGTGCTTGTGGCTTACCCTGGGCACTCCTGCTTTGTTTTGAAGCTTCAGACACTGCGTCCTCCGTTTGACTGAGAACAACTCACAGCCTTTGATGACCAAGCTGCAGTGGCTCTTTGCCTTCCTGGAGCACAGCCAGGTGAGTGCAGGGGGAGCAGGGGACACGGAAGAGAGGAGGTCAGGCCCCTGCACTGACACCCTTCCCTTCCCCAGGACCTGCCTGCATCCGGCTATAATCTCCCACTTCACAGAGTAGCCTGCTGAGCCCCAGTCTGGGCTGGCGCAGGTTCACGGCCAGAGCCCATGGGGGGCCGATTCAGTAATCCTACCCGGCAAGGGAGGGAGGGCCCTTGAGCCCCGTTCTGTGCTGTGATTCATTCTGTGGAATTAAGGTGTTGTGTCTTAGTGCTTTTGGTGCTGCTATAACAGAATACTGGAGTCTGGGTAATTTTTAAAGAAAAATTGATCTCTTATGGTTCTGGGGGCTGGGAAGCCGAAGATCGAGGGGTTGCATCTGGAGGGGCCTTCCTGCTGCATGATGACGTGGCAGAAGGCATCACCTGGTGACAGTGTGCATGAGAGAGGAAAGGGGACCAAACTCATCCCTTCATCACGAGCCCACTCCCACAATAACGGACCCACTCTTGCGACATGGCATTGATGCATTCTTAAAGGCAAAGCCCTCATCACCTTAACCACTTCGGTATGGCGAAACCTTGCCCACAGCCGGCACTCACAGTCAGTCTGCACGATAGTTTGTGCTGTGCATTGACGACGGATTCGTTTTGCTCTTGTGAGATGAGGAAAGCTTTAAAGCACTGAAAGCTTGTTTCACAGGCAGCTTTACTTGTAATGTAAATCAGAATAGGTAACATATACACATGTTTCATTATGTTATTCATTGATAAATGAAAAATTAGAAAAGTCTTATCACAGCTGTCGGCTAAAGTCAACACTGGGCTGTGCACCTTCATATCACGGCTGTGGGCTAAAGTCACTGTGCACGTTCATCTGTGGCTGTCGACTATAGTCAACGCTGGTCCCAAAGTGGTTAAAGGTCCCACCTCTCAACACTGTTGGATTGGGAATGAAGTTTCTAACACTTGCTTTTTCTTTTTGAGGGACACCGTCTAACCAAAGCATGTCGCTTCATCTGTAACTTTTAAAAATTTATTTTTGTAGTGACAGGGTCTTACTTTGTCACCCAGGCTGGAGTGCAGTGGTGTGATCGTAGCTCACTGTAACCTTGAACTCCTGTGTTCAAGAGATCCTCCAGGTAGCTGGGATTGTAGGCACATACCACCCCACCTGGCTAGTTCAAAAATGTTTTGTAGAAACGGTCTTGCTGTGTTGCACAGGCTAGTCTCAAATGCCCGGGCTCAAGCGAAACTCCCCTCTCAGCCTTCCAAAGTGCTGAGAGTATGGGTATGAGCCACTGCTCCTGGCTTTACTGTCACTTTTGAGCACTCATATGACCATGCAGCCTGAGGGCTGACGAGGCTACCGTAGTGAACAAAACAAATATGGTCTGTGCCCTCATGGATCCTAAAGCCTTCGGCTGTGGGAGGCGCACGGCCCTGTGGGGGCCCGGAGATGAGCAAGCCACGGCCCTGGCTCATGGAGCTCATAGTCTGAGGAAGACAGACCCACAGGTGACAATCATTGTGCTTTAATGGAGGGAAAGGGACAGTGGGAAGATATCATGGAGGTGATAATGCATCTGGAACTCATCTGGACAGGGGAAAGGGATGTTTTAGGCAGAGAGAAAGTATGAGGTGTGTCAGGGAAGGGCAGATTCCTAGAGGGTTGTTCATCTCCGTGAACCCAGCATCCTGCTCAGAGGCTACATGGATGTGTGGGATGGCATCCGTCAGGGACATCGGGAAGGAGGCCAGGGAGTGTAAGGTGGGACCCTTAGGCCGAACAGGTGCAGAACTGGTTGGCCCACTCTTGACTCTGTCTCTTGCCTGCCTCGTCCTAGCGGCCTGCCATTTCCCCAGAAAACTTCCTCTCTGCATCCTGGACACCCTGGTTTAGCCCTGGCACCCAGCAGGACTGCTCAGAGTACCTGAAATACCTGCTGGACAGGTAAGGGGGGCCAGGCCTCTGGCTCTGGGGGGGAGGGGAGCCAGGTCTGGAGAAGGTGCCTGGGGGGCAAGCCCCAAACCTTGAGCTGTGTTGCATCTTCCTGGAACTACCATGTTTCCCCAAAAATAAGACAGGGTCTCATATTTATCTTTCCTCAAGAAGACACCCCAGGGCTTATTTTCAGGGCATGTGTTATTTTCCCATCAGAACCTCAGCTTGCAGCATGCACAGGGTGGCCAGGACCTGACAGGGGGAGCTGACCTTGTCGGTCAGCTCTGCACCTTTCTGGTCACCTCTGGGATAGTAGCTGTCACGATGGGGCAGATGAGAAGGGCTGCTGTCGTCTTCACCGCTCCCTGACGAAATGCATGGGTTGTGCAGCTATGCCGCGTAGCCACGCCCATCACTAGGTCTTATTTTCAGGGTAGGGCTTATATTACACAAATGCTTAGAAATCCTGCTCGGGCTTTTTTTATGGGTAGGTCTTATTTTCAGGGAAACATGATAGGAGCGCTGTCTCGACCTTGTGGAAGGCTTAGAGAAGGCTTAAGTGTGGGGGCTAAGTGTGAGAGAAGTTTGGAGATGCGGAACTGAACAGTGACCCCTGGGAGTAGGTCACTCTTTGGAGTGCATGTTCATCACTGTCCTGGGGGCATGGCCTGTCTTCATGGACTTCGTGTGTGTGCCTGCACGTGGGTGAGTGCAGCATGTGTGCTGGCCGTGTGAGGGCATGTGCGTGGATGCGTTGGCATGCCATCTTGGACATGTGTGCACAGTCCCCGTGCAGACTTCCGCACGGGCAGGTGTCTGAGTACGGCAGGCAGGCACCAGTGAGGCGAGTGCAGGGGAGGAGGATGCACGTGTGGCCGCAGACCCTGTGCTCCCTGTTCCAGGCTGCACGAAGAGGAGAAAACTGGGACAAGGATCTGCCAAAAGCTCAAACAATCCAGCTCGCCCTCCCCGCCTGAGGAGCCCCCTAGTCCAAGTTCGACCTCTGTGGAGAAAATGTTTGGAGGCAAGATCGTGACTCGGATCTGCTGTCTCTGCTGCCTCAACGTCTCCTCCCGGGAGGAGGCCTTCACGGACCTCTCTCTCGCCTTTCCTCCTCCGGAGCGCTGCCGCCGCCGCCGCCTGGGCTCTGTGATGCTCCCTGCGGAGGACGTCAGAGCCCAGGAGCTCCCGCCGCCCGCCCGAGCCCAGGTCCCAAGCCCGAGGGGGGCGCCTCGGAGGCAGAGGAAACACTGTATCACAGGGGACGCCCCCCCCACCGGCCTGGACGTCGAAGGCCTGGACTCCCAGGGAGCTGGGGAGCAGGACGGCCAGGAGGAGAAGGTGGAGAGGGAGGAGGAAAGGAAGGAGAAGAGAACAGAGAAGGAAGAAGTGGAAAAGGAAGAGGAGGAGGAGGAAGAAAGGACCGTAGTAGAGGAAGAGGAGAAAGAAAAAGTGGAGGAAAAGGAGAAGGAGGGCGAGAAGGAGAACGAGGCCGAGAAGGACGAGGACAGGCTGGGCCCGGGGGCCTCCAGGGATGCTGTCATCCCCTGTGGGGAACAGACGTGTGGCCCCGAGGGCTCCCGCTCCGTCCTGGACCTGGTCAACTACTTCCTGTCCCCCGAGCGGCTGACGGCAGAGAACCGCTACTACTGCGAGTCCTGCGCCTCCCTGCAGGACGCGGAGAAGGTGGTGGAGCTGAGCCAGGGGCCGCGCTACCTCATCCTCACGCTGCTGCGCTTCTCCTTCGACCTGCGCACCATGCGGCGCCGCAAGATCCTGGACGACGTGGCCATCCCCCTGCTGCTCCGCCTGCCGCTGGCTGGCGGCCGGGGCCAGGCCTATGACCTGTGCAGCGTCGTGGTGCACTCCGGCGTGTCCTCGGAGAGCGGCCACTACTACTGCTACGCCCGCGAGGGCGCTGCCCGCCCGCCCCCTGCTCTGGGGACTGCCGACAGGCCAGAGCCTGAGAACCAGTGGTACCTGTTCAATGACACGCGAGTGTCCTTCTCCTCCTTTGAGTCTGTCAGCAACGTCACCTCCTTCTTCCCCAAGGACACAGCCTATGTGCTCTTCTACCGGCAGCGGCCCGGGGAAGGGCCTGAGGCCGAGTTGGGCTCCCCCAGGGTCCGGGCAGAGCCCACCCTGCACAAGGACCTGATGGAAGCCATTTCCAAAGACAACATCCTTTACCTGCAGGTGAGCAGTCCCATCCAAGGCTTTGGTCTAGCTCCTGGGTGGGGGGCTCTGGTCCCAGTGCAGCTGCTAGCTTGCATGCATTATTTTTCTCTTTGAGTCTCTTCATTTTTTTATGCATTCATCCATTGCTTAGTGCAGGGAATATACTTACTTTAGAGGAATAGACATTCAGTAACTGCATAATTGGTTAAGTAAGTGTGCTGAAGAGCAGCAGGGCGTCTGAGAGAGTGAACAGCTGAGTACGAGTCAGTGGAGGATACTCCTGGGGGACCCACCCTACCTCTGTCAACTTCCTGCGTAACTGCCTGTGACACCACTCTGTAGAGTCAAGCGTGGTATCAAAACACTTAGCTACGGGAACCACAGGGCCCTGACCAGTAGGATGGGTACTAGCCATAGACACAGGACCTGTGGATACCAGCATCTAGAGCTGGGGTCCTGTGTGGGGAAGGTGGCACCTGGGCTGGGACACCAGGCCTGTTTTTACATTCCCACTGGGCTGTCCAGGTGGCAGCGTCTTTGAGACTGGCTCCTCTTCAGGAGGCAGAGCTTTCCCGTAGGCTGTGAGCTGCACGGCATGGCTAGGAAGCCTGCAGGTAGGTTCCCGTGTGATGTGACTCTGCAAGTCCCCAGACCTCCTGCTTCAACATCAGGCCCTGTCAGCTCGGCAGTCGAGGATGAATGAGTTCTTTTCCTCCTAGGGACTTTTTTGTTGAGAGGAAAAGGAGAGATTTTTGAAGAGTAGACATAGGGTGGAAGGATGGGTCCAGCCCGCCTATCCTGCCACTGAGTTGGAACACCTGTGTCCTGGCGACTCAGAGGAGACACAAGTGCTGTGCTAGGTGGTGCTGGGGGAGAGAATGAAAGGGGTCTGAATCCTGAGCTTCCCCCGCCATCTGTGTTCCCAGGAGCAGGAGAAGGAGGCACGGAGCAGGGCGGCCTACATCTCTGCACTCCCCGCATCTCCGCACTGGGGGAGAGGCTTTGATGAAGACAAGGATGAGGATGAAGGCTCTCCAGGGGGTTGCAACCCTGCAGGTGGCAATGGTGGTGACTTCCACAGACTGGTCTTCTAATGTGAACTCACCTCTGGGGGCCCCATAGCCAACCTCGGGAAGCAGTGACCCCTTCTTTCTGGGAGCCAGGTGGGGTCAGAGGGAGGCAGGCCCAGTCTTGAAATAGGCTCTTCCAAGGGCGGAGGAGGGAGAGCTTCTGGGACACCAGACCTCAGCCTGGAGGGTACACAGACTCTCAGACGTGGAGGTAAGACTCAGGCCCTTGATGCTGGGATCAGTCCCATTAAGGTTTTACACCCAAGTGTCCTGATTAACTTGAAGCAACTTAGGTGGGCACACTCTGGGCTTTGCCTCCAGCCCCTCCCCTGCAGGCTCCCTGTACGGGAGCATCTGGTTATGTTCAGGAAATAGGGCTGAACCTCAGCTCTGATGTTTTGCCATCAAGTAGCACTTCCCTTCCAGCTCTGCTCAGACAAGTCCTGCTCTATAGTATGAAAAGCACAGCAGGATCTGAGTCCTTGCACAAAAAAGGGGGCTGTGTGTCACCTGGGCCATCCTCTGGTTTCTCCACGGGGGTTCCCACAGTTTGTACTACTTTGAGAGGAGAAGGGGAAAGCAGCATGGCACGGATCAGAGGCCCAACGTTTCATCTGGTCTGACCCCTCCTTTACCTGTCTCCCGCCCCTGTAGCAAGAAGGACGCATCAAGGGGAGGCAGCCCCCCTCGAGGTGGGAGCCCCTTTACCTCCATCCCCTCTGCCCCCTAGCCTGCCTCAGTGCCTGAGATGCCACCATTAGCATCCCCCTTCTGGTTGAGTCCTTACTTCACTGCAGAGGCTGAAGCCGTCTCCTTCTGAGGAAGCGGGCGGGCGGGGCTCTGAGCAGTTGGCCGTTACAGCCGTGAGAGTGGCTGCCTGAGGGCGTCTGGTGAAGCGCAGATGTTGGCCTCCTTGTGCCCTGACACTGCTGTAAGTCCCCTCTAAGTGAAGCAGAGACCTGTTTCTCCAACGAATAAAACTAGGTTCTCTGAAGCCTTTTAAAGATGTCGTTCTTCCCGTTTCAGTGGCTGTGATGTCTGCTGTACCCTTGGTTTTCTGACAATGACCCAGGCTTCTTGGTGGGCAGGTGAGGACATACTCCTGCCCCTAGCAACTTGTGACAGCCCTCCGTACTGAAGGACTGGGAGTGCAGAGCTGGGTGGCAGTGTCCATGGCTCCAGAGCCAGCACCCAGGTCCTTTCCCCCGGCACCATCCCATGCCCGGGATCGTTCTCGCCCTCACGATGGGATGGGAGTGTGGGGTCCAGTGCCCAGCCCCCTCAGATGAGACGGACTCTGGCAGCCTGCTCCGAGTTGCGTTTCTAATGGACTTTATTATTGTCCTGCTCCAACACCACAGTAAAAAGGGACCTGCAAGCTCCAGGCCTGTACCATGTGTCACCACAGCAAAAATATCACCCCCTTGAACACATTCCCACCCCACCCCTAGACCTACCAACAGGATAAATATGTTACAATTTTTTTTAAAAAAAGAAAACAGAATAAATTAATAACTTAAGTGATTAGGCACCAACAGTGATTTAAAAAATTAAATGTCAATTTTGAATGGTAACAAGACAAGAACTTAAGACTGGGCTTGCTCTAGCCCATTTTCTCTTCCCAACAAATGGCAACAATTCTGTGCGAAATGGTTCTAAATTTTAAGACACAAGTAGCCAACAAATACACGAGAACACACATCACCAGATATCACACAACAGCCTGAATCCCCAGTGGGCCCCTCGGTAGGTAGCCCATCATGGTCCCAGGCCCCAGAGAGCTTGGCGAGGCTCAGGACGATAGCCCCCCCCAGGCCTTTGGAGCATAGCCTTGCTTCCCTCACATTTTACAGATGAAGAGCTGGATGGGAAGGGAGTACTAATTTCCCTCTCTTGCACTCTTCCAGAGCTCTGGCAAAGGGGGGGTGTGGGTGGGCAGGCCTGGGCCCAAGGCATGGGGCTGAGACTCGCTCTGTAGCAGGTAAAGGGGCCACAGGGCAGACCAATTGAGCTCGTGCTCCAACAGCTTCAGAATGGTTGTGCTTTTGTCCTAGGAAAGGGGCATATTTTAATGGCTTCAAATGAAGTTACCAAAATCAAGCTAGGGAGGGGACCGGGGTGACGCAGACCCTCAAGAGAGAATGTACAGCAGGGAGTTCCCACTCGAAGCAGCTGGGCATCAGCTGTAGAAGGGACCTCAGACCATCTGCTCCAACCACCCATTTCGCAGATGGCAAAGCAAGGACCTAGGGAGACACCAGCTTCCTCTTTTTTCATTGTTCCACTCAACTTTAACCTTGCAGAGGTGGCGCTGGGAGTGGGTGAAGAAGGCCCCTCTGGAGAGCCCTAGGCAGGATGTGTCCTTGTGAGAGCTGTGCTGGGTTAAGCAAGCATCCCTGTTCTGCGATCTCAGTCCCTCAGGAAAGGTACACTTTGACCCACGGATCGGCCAAAGGACCAAGTTTTTTAAACTGAGTTGACTTCCTTTTTGTGGGGGGTGGGTACATGCTAGACACAGCTGGTGGTTTGGGGCTTGTTAAGCCAGAGCTCTGCTTTCAAAAGCCAGATTTTTTATCTTGTCCTTCTTTCCATCTCTACGTACACTTCCACCCTAAAGGTTTTGATAGTTACAGGAACCAAGAGCTGGAAGGAGGCCTCTTGGAGATTAGATTTGAGCACCTCAGTCTCTGAAGACTCCAACCAGTTTCATTCACATCGTGGCATGCTCAGAGCATGCTCGTATTTTCATGGGAGGCTACTGGGGCTATAAACTGAGGGTAGCTATACCTGGACCCATTTGTAGCCTGCTGGGGGCATGGGAGGTACCAGTTAAAAGCTCTGCCATCTGGGACCCCTTGTAGAAGGCCTTAAAGGGACACTGTCAGTGCTGTGCAGAGTAAACAGTACCCTGCAAACCCTGCCCAGTGTAGCCAGAGTCACCACTACCATTTCAGCCGAGTGGCTGGACCTATATTCCCAAAGGTCTTTTTGTTCCCCAAACATGAAGCTTTCCATGTTTCTCCTTCCTTCCCCTATCACTGGACCCAGGCCTTGCCTGCCTTCCCCATAAAAACCCAACCTATCCAACTGTAAGGCTCTCAGGCACTCCCTTTTCCTAGAATCCACCTTCCCCCATCTCTTCCCCACTCCTGCCTCTTGCACCAACCTCCCTGAGAAACAGTCTTTACTTCCTTCACGCTCCATCAGCACCCTAAGTCTCTCTCTCTCTGGTGGCCATCAACACTGTCTTGTGTCTTTTTCTCACGGATTGTGACCATCTCAAGTTCAGGGACAAAGTCTGATTAATTCCTTTATGCTTGGTGCCTAAGCCAGCATCTGGCCACAGCAGCCATTAATAAATACTTCTGGAGTTGATCTGAACTGAAGCTAAGAGGAGAGGAGCTACCACAGGGCACGTACTGCTCCCAGGATGGCTCCTTAGAGAAAGGCCAGGCCATGGGTCTGGGGAAGTGAGCGAGCTCACAGGAGCTGAAAGGGGAGTGGGTAGCCGCCCTCATCGGACATGGTGGGAAGTCTTTTTTTTAGAGGGAGACAGTCTGTCCACCCTAGGGTAAGTCTGGTCCGCCCTGTTGCCTCTGAAACTCTTGAACATTTGGTCAAGAACTTTGAACATAAAAAATTCAGATCCTTCCTCCCTAGGCATAGGAGAAAGAGCCTCGGGTGATACCCTACCTCCAGTCCCTGCTGATATGATGACCTTTTGAGCCTTGGAAGGAGAAGGTTGGCTTCTCCCATCCCTGTAGCCAAGAGTCCTATGTGGCACCTGGGAGGATGCTAGGGAGCAACAGGGGGAGGTGGACTGAGGAAACCCTCTGGGCCTGGCACCAGGACAGGTATGTTCCTGCCCCAGGACCTAACACATATCCCAGTCCATCAGCTCTACCATGTGTGGTCCTCTAGGCACAGTTCTGCCCTGCCCACCCTTACCCTGCCTGACCTGCTGTCCCTCCGTCCTGGGAGTGGCCCTCATGTCATGCTGCCATGCACATCGCTCACTTTCTGTTCCACCCTGCCTATGCATTGCCCGGGGCACTCCACCAGGCCCTTTGGATATATTTCCCTGTTTGCTGCATGGCCCTGGCCTCTTGGCTCATGTCCTATCAGGCCACCTCTGATCCCTCCCCCTGCCACACTGTCCACTTCCCAGCAACTCACTGGCTGCAGCTGCACCACCCCCACTGCAGGGCACTGGACTGCCCTGTGCCCCTGCCCAACCCTTCCTGTCCCAAGGTTCCCCTTCAGTCCCTGCATCACCTGCCTCTGTACCACGCTCCCTCCCGCCTCCCCTAACTCCCACCATGCTGGCAATCCTGCACTACAGCTGGGGCTGCCATCCAGCCTGGTCTGAGCCGCCTCCTGTGTGGAGCTCCTGGGTGCAGTGGGGGCCCCCTCCAGGGGGGACTGGGGAAGAATATTGCCCTCTGGCTCAGAGTGGCATTGTCAGAGTGGCAAGGGGGGCCTGTGGCTCCCGAATTTAGGGGACCCTGACCCCACATTTTTCTTGTCACCTCCATGTCCTGAGCTGCAAGCCCTGCTCCTTCTTGGCTGCCCACCATCACTTCTCCCTTCCTTTTGTCCATCATCCTTCTGCCTGTCCACCCACATTGCTGCCCTGCCATGGTCTTGGCCTGAAAGTAGGGGACCCCTGTGGGTATCAACTGCTCTTCTGCATCTGGGGATGTAATTCCTTTGCCCCTCAGGATCACCTCTGGCTTTTCTTCTCAACTACTTCATCTTTTGGTGGCCTGGCCTTGCCTCCCCCCACCAAGAAATACAGGGATGAAAAAGTCCATATCCACTTTGGTCTGCTGGTCCTTGGCTCCCTGGGTCAGTGAGACGACTTGTCTTCTTCTGGGACTGAAGGAGAGGTAGCCCAGTGGCTGGAGGGAAGAGGGCTGAGAGCTGCGACCGAATGTGAAGTGTGGAATCTGGCTCAGGGCCCCAACCCCTCTCTCCAAACATCTGGTAGATAGTCAGGTCTAAAGGCCAGGAAGAGGTTGAAGGATGCTTTTTGGCAATAGCTCCTAACTAAGGTGAGTGGAGGCATGGCCATTACTGATAAAAATCAGAAGTGGGCCCTGAGCAGGCAGAGGAAGTGCCTTGGTCAGGCCCTAACCACCCAGGGAAACGGTTCAGGGTCCCTGATGTCAAGTGCTTTGAAGGCTGAGAGTGGCAGAGAAGAAAGGTAGGGGGAGGGGAGAAGGGAGGGCCAGCTCTGGAGACACTGCCTCCCGGCCCCTCCCTGGGCTCGGTGGCCCCTCCTCTGGTCACAGCTTGGCGCCCTTGGAAGGCTCTGAGGACTGCCGCACGTCTGTCCACTCCTGCATGGTGTTCTGCAGGGCCTGGGTCTTCTCCTTGTCCACCTGGACATAGTCCACCTTCTCATCGGAAGTGACAGAGGAAGTGGATGGCTGAGGGGACAGAGTGGGAAAAAGAGTGGCTGTGAGTTTCCAGTGAGGAGAGGAGGATGAGGAGGAAGAGAGTGGGAACTTCCCCAGTGATCTCAAGGGTTAGAAAAGGGGGCCTCTGCTTGCCACTCTGACCGGCCTTAGGAGCCTGTCTTCTTCTGAATGTGGGCTTTAAAGCCTGAACTCCAAATTAATTGTCCCTCCTGCTGGACACCACCTGCCAGGCTTCTTATTTCCCAGCTCCTAGGAGGATCCAGGCCCATCCTTGGCCCTGGTGGATGAGATCAGGCCTTCATTTCTGCCTTCACCCATCTCCCTCTGGCCTCTCGTCCAGGGGAAAGAATTTGCTTGGTGTCAACAACCATCATCCATAGGGCTTTATGTGTGTCACCGTGATGAGCCTTCACAACTACCCTGTGGGAGGAACTGTGCTGGGTGGAGCTCCCCACCCTGCTGTCTAGACAGTTAGCTCAGTGTGCTTGCTTAGGAGGCTATCTAGGCCTGGAAATCCCTTCTGAAACCCACTGTATCAATGGCAGGGCTCTGGGACCCACCCAAACAGCACATCCTCCTTAAATAAGACCCTGAAACCAGGAGGCAGGATCCCCAAGTCTTGGATATGCCACTGCTTCACTCCATAACGTTGAGCAGATCAGGTCTCTGTGCACTCGTGCCCATCTCTACAAGGGGATGGCTGACTGATATCAGAGGGTCTATGGACTGTGGGAACCTGTGCTCCAAGACCCAGGCTAAAGCACAGTTGAGTCAGAAGCTGGTACTGAAGTGGGAGGGAGGCTGGGTGCTGTTGTCCAGTGCTGAGGGTACCCTGGCCCCCATGATCTCTCCCCTAGGGGTCCTGAGAGCTCTGACTGACCCCCCACTCCCACCCCAGGCACCTTGCGGTGGGGACTTGGGGAGCTTGGCTGGAAATCCAGGGCCAGATAATCGACGCTGCCCGTGCTCTTCTTAGGGGCTGGACTGTTGGTGCCACTGGGAACGGGAGATGCAGACACTGGGTTTTGCTATCACAAGGAGAAAAAAACCGTTAGTGAGTTTAGGAAACAGACTAATCCACGATCCAGAAAAACACACCTCTGAGTATAAGAGCTGCTGGTTTACTGAGCCCTACTCTGAGCCATGCACCTACCTAGGGACTTTCCATGTTCTCATTTTAATCCTCACAACAATCCTATGATGTCAGTACCATTACTGCTCCATTATTTAAAACAAAGATAAAACCACAATTCACTTTACTTTCAGAGAATTGAAGTGACTATGCCCATGGCATAGCTGGTGTGTGATGACAATCAGGTCTGTTTTCTGACTCCCAGACCTATGCTAATCCCATGTACCATGCTGCCTCCTTTATAGGGCATTGGGCCAAATCTCATCCACAGTCTCTCTCCTGAGACACTCAGCCTTTGCTTGCTGGGCCTTAACGGAGCACACATTACTAGTCATCAGAGAAATGAAAATCAAAACCACAATGAGCTATCATCTCACCCCAGTTAAAATGGCTTTCATCGAAGAGACAGGCAATAACAAATGCTGGCGAGCATGTGGATAAAGGGGAACCCTTTCACATTATTGGTGGGATGTAAATTAGTGCAACCACTATGGAAAGCACTATGGAGGTTCCTCAAAAAACTAAAAATAGAACTACCATATGATCCACCAATCTCACTGCTGGGTATATATCCAAAGGAGGGGAAATTAGTATATTGAAAAGACATTTGCACTCCCATGTGCATTAATAGTGCATCCCAGCACTACTCACAATAGCCACGATTTGGAATTGACCAGAATGTGTCCATCAACAGATGAATGGATAAAGAAACTGTGGTACGTATACACAATGGATTGTTATACAGCCATAAAAAGAATGAAATCCTGCCATGGACGAAACAACACGGATGGCACTGGAAACATGTTAAGTAAAATAAGCCAAGTACAGAAAGACAAATTTGCATGTTCTCACTCATATGTGGGAGCTAACTATTAAAAATAATTGATCTCATGGAGACAGAGTAGAATGATGGTTATCAGAGGCTGGGAAGGTAGCAGGGAGGGGAGGATAAAGTGGGGGGGGTAGGTTAATGGGTGCAAAAATATATATAGATAGAATGAACAATATTTAATAGCACCGCAAAGTAACTATAATCAACAATAAGTTAGGAAATACTTTAAAATAACTGAAAGAGTGGAATTGGAATGTTACTAATGCAAAGAAATGATAAATGCCTGAGGTGATGGATATTCCAATTACCCCGATTTGATTAATTCACATTGTATGTCTGTATCAAAACATCACATGTACCCTATAAAGATATTCAACTATCAGGCAGCCATAAAAATTAAAAAAAAAAAGTAAAAAGGGAGCACATTTCCTTTGTGCACTGGATGTTGGAAATTTTCTTCTGTTGCCCCAAATCAGCTCGTCTGAAACTCCCACCCGTGGCCTAGCGTGGGCAGTCACAGGGAAGCGGCGGGCTCCATCCACCCGGCTCCTCCGGGATCTGAGCACTCGCCTCGTCTCCAGGCCGCACGAAGCCCTGTTTCTTCAGCAGTTCTTCAGACGACACGCGCTGGCGTCCTGCCTCCACCCAGGTTCCTGCTCTAGAAGAGCACACTCTATCTAGGACTCTCCTGAATTCTTTTTTTTTTTTGAGACAGAGTCTCACTTTGTTGCCCGGATTAGAGTGCCACGGCGCCAGCCTAGCTCACAGCAACCTCAAACTCCTGGGCTCAAAGCAATCCTCCTGCCTCAGCCTCCCGAGTAGCTGGGACTACATGCGTGCACCACCATGCCCAGCTGATTTTTTCTGTATATATTTAGCTGTCTAAGTATTTCTTTCTACTTTTAGTAGAGATGGGGTCTCACTCTGGCTCAGGCTGGTCTTGAACTCCTGAGCTCAAACGATCTACCCGCCTCGGACTCCCAAAGTACTAGGATTACAGGCTTGAGCCACCGAGCCTGGCCCTGAAGTCTTATTCTAATGAGAAAGGTGATAGTCCTGTGTTGTTTGTTGGCTGCTTTATTCAGTTGATTTGGTGACTAGCAGGTGCCGGGCAGCTAAATCCTTTTCAATGAAAATCTTAGGGAAGAAACTTATCATACTCTGCCTATGTTTATACTTCTATTATGGCCTTCAGCACATTGAGTTATGCACGTGTGTCTCTCATCACTGAGTAGGTACCCCCAGCTCTGCCTCTCCAAGGTCACGGCTCATGCCACCTGTGTCACAGCCATGAGAGAGGCAGGCCATTCCAGCTCTTTAAGACTGAGACTTTCTTGGGGCAGGGGCCATGTCTTCCTTACATCTAATGACAACTCCCATTCCTTGATTCTTGTGCTCAAGAAGGATCTGTAGCAGGAGAGTAAATCACAATGCAAGGAGTCCCTAGGCTGGGGTGAGCTAGCTAAGCTGGAAAGTAGGGAACTGGGCGGTGGGTACCAGGGGACTCTGATAGGAGTCATTCTAGTCATTCAAACCCCCAAGGACTTACCATAGGGACATAGTTTTCTTCACTGTCTCCCGAGTCCGTACTGGTGATGCTCTGAGTGGAGATAGGGCGGCAGTACTGGGAGGAACTGGGGTTGAAGCTGTGGCTATTGGGGAGGGAGACAAACAGTAAACCCTGGGAAGTCTCATGGCTGCTGTTTCTTAGCCTCCAGCTGGGCGCCGACCCTCAAACACCCAGACCTCAACCATCAGAGCTTCACACTCCATCAGATTAAGATCTGATACAAGGCAGGTATAATAATCCCTGTTACAGCTGAGGAAACCAAACCCCAAGAGATCAGGAGACAGGATCAGCTAATGACATCCAAAGCATCAGAATCCAGCTGTCCAGGCCCCCAGGCCAGCGACCATTCCACTCATCTCCCCTAACCCCCGACTCCAACCTTCCCCTCCGCACACAGACACTCACTTGGCCCTAGACCAAGACTTGGTGATAGGGGATTTGAAGGGGAGCTCATCGATGACGGTGTTGTTTCTCAGGTCAAGTGGTGTTGGCTTTGCTGGAGCAGGAAGAGAAAGTCCAGTAATTAGCCAATAATAATAATAATGCCACACACACGTATATGATACTTACGTGTAACACACAAGCATGTTCATAAAGGCCTTCACAGTCATTCAGTTTTACACAGGGAAACACAGGCTTAGCAAGGTTTTATAATCCTTGACAGGTCTTGAAGTCATGTCTTCAGATTCCAAATTATATTTTTTTCTGCCATATCTATGATAATCATATTTTCAGAATCCAAAATGGAGACTAATGGTTTGACGACAGATTTTTCTCCCTAGATTTATGACTTTACATAAAAACAAGAGATCGCAGGCCGGGCGCGGTGGCTCACGCCTGTAATCCTAGCTCTCTGGGAGGCCGAGGTGGGCGGATTACTCGAGGTCAGGAGTTCGAAACCAACCTGAGCAATGAGCGAGACCCCGTCTCTACTATAAATAGAAAGAAATTAATTGGCCAACTAATATATATAGAAAAATTAGCCGGGCATGGTGGTGCATGCCTATAGTCCCAGCTACTTGGGAGGCTGAGGCAGAAGGATTGCTTTAGCCCAGGAGTGTGAGGTTGCTGTGAGCTAGGCTGACGCCACGGCACTCACTCTAGCCTGGGCAACAAAGCGAGACTCTGTCTCAAAAAAAAAAAATACTGTTGTTCACAAGGGTTTGGCTAAAGGGTCTGAACCATAAGCACCAAGGAGGGAAAGGGAACTCAAACAACATATGAAAAAGGGAAAAGAGGGTGAGAGTCATCAGGGTCCATCTCCATTTGTAAAAATACTGTACAACTCAGAGATGATAGTAGAGTTGTCCATGACCTGTGGCTGGAGGAAACCCCTGCATCTCCTCTAACCCTTTGAAAAGCTCCAGAGGTAGAAGCAAGCCTTCTATTTGTTTCTTATCCCCTTAAAAGAATGCCTCCCACTCTCCCAAAGTCCCTCTCCAGGTCCCCTAAGAGGCCAACGCCCTGAGTTCGCTTTCCTATTCACATTGTCCGAATCTGGCCACACACTGAAATCTGAATTCTCTGTTGACCAGACCCACAAGGGGCTCTCTCTGCCCAGTTATCCTGCTCTTCCCTCTGAATCCCTGTTGCTGATCCAAAGCCAGGAGGGAGAGGTACTGGCAGACTGGAACTTGAACTCCAGCATGTCTTTTTATTCTACATGCAGAGGGCACAGATCTAAGTTTACTCAACACCTGCTGGGTGCCAGGGTACTATCCCAGATGCTGTCCTTCAAAGCAAACCTGGGAGGCAGGGATTACCATCCCCATTTTACAGATAAGAAAACTAAGGCTTAGAGAATTTACATGATTTGCCCAAAGTCATATACCCCAAGTCCAGCAACCACCTGATTCCTAAGCAAACGCAAGTAGTCCCTGGATAGTGTGCAGACATGGGACAGGGCAAAGAGTGGACTTACCTTTACGGTCAGGTTTGAGGTTGCGGTTGACAGGGGGTGGCTGGATCTCACTTCCTCGGCTGGGGCCTCGGTGCATAGGAAGAGTTGTGGATGGGTAGCCAAGTGGGTCAAAGTGATGGGGCCCTGGGCTCATGGGGATGTAGACACTCTGGGAATTATCACCTGCTCGCTCCATGGCCAGGAGGGTGGAGGAACCTGGGTTCATGGGCACGTAGTTGTCTTCAGAATTGGTGCTATCTGATCGGCCCACAACTGTTTTCCCTGGCTAGGGAGAGGGAGCGTGAAAGAAATACAGCTGTCACTTGCAAGAAGAAACAAGAAGGGGGTGAGAAGCTGTATACAAGGCAAGAAAAGTCATGTCTGAGTTAGCTACACTTTGAGGCTATAAGGGAGACTTCAGAAGACCAAATAGGAAAGCAGAGTGGAAGACAGGAAGAAATGACATCTGTGGGTCCCTTCCAGCTTTCATGACCTCTTGGGCGTCCACTTATAATCTGTGACATTTAGAATATAAATTATCCTTGGTGGCTGGATCCACTTGGGTTTCTAGATGCCACGCCAAGGCTGGGGGGAGCACACGTCAAGGGCTGTGTAGTTTGGGTTCAGGACCTGCCTTCTCCCTCAAGTTTAGACTCACCATTGGCAGGTCAGCATCTCAGGCCCTGATCAGGCCAAGGAGCACTATTAGGAGTCTTGGCCATGGAAGGGCCCGAGGCTCACCCAGGACCCCTAGGTGACCACCAAGCTGGAGGGAGAGCTGCCACAGAGTTGTGTAATGCAGCAACCCTGGCTAGAGCCTTCCTCCAACCCCTGCCCTATCTGCCCAGACTTACAACCAAGCTGCTTCTGCTTTGGTTACCTAATTTTCACTTTCTCTCCAATGGGCCTGAAGCCAGGCCCTGGGCTGCTTTCTTCTTTGGAGAACTGTGGTCAGCCCTTTTTAGTGAGTGGCCAGAGATCCCACACTCAAGCCATCATTGTGCCACCTGGCCTGACTCTGAGTACCACTCCTGGCTGGAGTCTCACACTGCAGCATCTCTCCTCCAGGTGAGACCTCGTGGGTAGGGCTGCCACCTTAGAAGGTCTGCCACCCCAGATCCTGAGTCTATTGCATCTTAGACTCCCTGTGCTTATCTGTAGGGTTGGTGAACCTCATAATCCAGTCTACCTAAGTACATACATTTCTTCCAGACTTGCATATGTGTATCTTAATTGTCCAAAAACTTATCCCAGGGTTCTGAACTGAGACAAGAATCTAGGCAGAGTCCTAAGAGGGAGATGCCATCATTCTTTTGGTGCCGTGCTTTTAGTTTCATGGGTGTGATCTTTACCCACCTGAGCTGGCCTGAGGACCCATGGTTAAACTGCACTCACCAAGAAAGAACTGACTCCATCACTCATGGACGCAGCAGACCGGCCTGCACCCTCTCCGCCACGCTGGGGGGATTCGTAGGTCTCACAGGAAGAAGCTATGACACGGGAAGGAAGAGCCACACATACTCACAGTTGGTCCATGTGCTGACACTGCCCATACCCTCACCAGTGTTGCTCAGGGTCTTACTGATACTCTGGAAGATACTATTCTCAACCCCAAATGACGAGGTATTACTTCCAATACATCACTCCTCAGTTCAAAAATTCCTTCTGGGCCTCTAGATCTAGCTCCAATGTTAGCATCTGCAGAGAATCCCTCCCTGACGACTGCTGCCCTCATTTATGCACCTCTCCTCTGACAGCTAGAGCACTTACCACCTGTCCCCGCACCCCAGCCATCACCTCTGTGAACGAGTGAGTACAGTAACATACTCATCCTAATTTACACATGTTGGTTTTATTTTTCCAACTAGATGTGAGCTCTGAAGGGCAGAAATGTGTTTTATGTATGTCTCCATCATCTCAGTTCCAAAGCACAGGTGACTGCTCAGAGTGTTGACGCAATGAAAGAATGCAAAGAGTTCTACACCAGGAACCAGGACCCCAGGGGCCTGAGTCTCGTCTCTGCCACTGATGGCTCTGCAGCCCTGAGTAAGTCTCTTAACTACCGGGGACCTCATGAGAAATGGAGACAATGAGGCTTTGTCCCACCAAACTCTCTGCTTGGCTTAAACAACAGGATGGATTAGAATAGACTTTGCAAGCTTTAAAGCAAGATGCAAAATTAAAGGAATTAATATTGTTCTATTTTTTTCATCAAACAGAGGAGGTTACATGCAGAGTTGGAATACTTTCAGTGGAAAACAAATGATAACAGAATTTAGGTACTTCAAATAGAAGTTCAGACCTCAACTAAAGAGACTCAAGTGTAGCTTAGAAAATATTCTGAAGATCTCATTTTGTTTTAAATAGTCTGTTAGTCCACATAGGTTTGGCTCCAGTTTAGACTGATCTTTTATTTTTTAAATCTTTGAGTTGATTTATAAATGAATAAAATACTATGATTTGGACTTCCAAACCCATAATATGTTGTACTGTGGTTAACCAAGAATGTTCTGTCTCCCTTAGTAGAATATTAACTTCCCTCAGGCAGGGTCTGCTATACTTTTGCCATTGTGGCTGCCTGCTAGTAGCATCTGGTGCTAGACCAACTGGTAAAGGATCTGGGTAGAAGATGCCTAAACTCATGAGTATCAGTGACCTGGATGGTTCTTACATCTCTTTTGGCCATGGATGACCAAGCACTAGCAAACCACTGAAAAGCCCCGTGGTACCGCGTCTCAGCTATGGCTTATACTGACCTCGGTGAAGTCGGCTGTTGTCCATTGCCGGGAGAGTATTGCGCCTGGGGATGGTGGCAGCGACAGAGACAGATCTGTTATTCTCACCGACCGGAGGTTTCTGCTGAGGGCTGCCCCATCGTGGTGTTTCTGCCTGACTTGGCTTGGGGGGCCGGGGTGGGGGAGCTATGGCTGAATCCCCAGGGGTGGCCACTGCCATGGCATTGTGGTTCTTATCCAGAGTGAATGTCCTAGGGATCTGGTAGGCTGAAAGTGGGGTGGCCGGAACGTCCATGTTGTCTACCAGGAGGTCCCCAAACTCCCGGCACAGGGTGTTGCTGGGTGTCTTGAAGGTGTACACATCTTCATTATCTGTCTCGGAGCCGGTGAGGCTGCCCTTGGTGTGGCCATGGGAGGCCAGGCTCCGGGGGAGGTCGTAGGCACTGTCTCTGAATTCTGTATTATGCCGGCTCGGCTTGGGAAGGCTATAGAAACCATGGACTTGACCACTGACCCCGTTGACACAGTGTCCGTTGCCCTGGGCAAGTTTCTGTACAGCTGTGTCACTCCTCATGAGAAACGAGGCCCTGGTGCCCTGAGAGAAGCTGGCACTCCTAAAAGAGAGCAAGAAGGAAAAGGGCAGGGGCGTGAGAAAAGCCAACGACTGTCTCAGGGAGGTAGGCTGGGATGTTCGAAGGCCCAAGCAGGCAGCTGGGGTGGAAAAAAACGCAGTGCAAAGAGTCAGGCAGACCCGAGGTTTATCTAGGATTCACCATGTACTAGCTATGTGACCTTGAACAAAGCACTTTCTCTTTCTGAACTTCAGTTTATGTATCTGCAAAATAGTGATTAAAAATATACTTTGAAGGTTGCTTTTTTTTTTTGCCTCTCCCTAGTGAGACTAGTAGATGTTTCAATTTTTTTTTCTTCCAGATTAGGTCTCACTCTGTCACCCAGGCTAGAGTGCAGTGGCACACTCACAGCTCACTGTAGCCTTCAACTCCTGGGCTCAAATGGTCCTCCTGCCTCAGCCTCTTGAGCAGCTGGGACTACAGATGTGTGCTTGACTTGTTTAGAAATTACACTCTAGTATATCTAATACACAGATGTTCAATCAATATTAGTTTTTATTCCTCCCCCCACCTGCAAATGGCTGTGATTAGGAGGGATTGATCTTACCCCCCGCAAACCCAAAACAGGTATCAATAAGCCAATTACACTGCCTACTTGTGCACTGTTTTCAGTACCACAGAATATACACATTTGAATACAAACGCTGTAAGACAGTGAAAAGAACCCTTAAGTTGGTGTCAGAAAACAGCAAACAAGTCATTTTATCTCTGAGTCTGTTTGCCAGTGTAAAATAAACTAGCTCATAGGTGGTGATGCTGTAAGTTATAAACAGTTATTCAGGGGAGAGGGGAGGCAATGGCAATAAACATAACCTTAACAATTGTACCCCCATAATATGCTGAAAAAAATAATTATTCAAATGTAAGCTATAGGTTTATTTTCTACCATGAATTATGGTTGGTTGAGAGGCCTTTAGAGGAGGAAATATCTCTTACCTGAAATCTACAGAGAAAATGTATTCCTGTTTGGGAACTATATTCAGGATAGAAAAAGGGTTGCATATTATTTTTTTTTTAAATTTAGGTTTTGGGAAATAAGGCAAGCAGCAAAGAGAGGAACAGCAAACGAGGGGAGCCTGTATCAGATTCCAGTCCCGCTGATGCTGTGTTCTGTGAGCTCACCCAACGTTCCCTCTCAAGGATGACCTAGTGGCTCCCAACAATTTCTAAGGGTCTGCCTGGCTCTGCAGCTCTATAAGCCTTCGGCTTTACAAGAGTGGTTTTCAAACTGGATTCTATGTTCTGTGTGGTGCTTTGGGAAACTGGAGGGTGAGGTGCTACACAAGTAGGGATCCAGGTCCACTTTTCTAGCTTTTATATTATGAATTTTCATAGGCTTTTATTTGGGGGAAAAACGGAAGATTCAATCCTTTATAGCAGCGATTCTCAGCCTTTTGGAGGCCATAGGCATTTTTAAGAATCTAATAAAAGCTCTAATAAAAACCGTCTCCCACAAAAGGCAAATCTTGAATACATATACATTTGCATGCTATTTCAGGGGCGCCAGTCATACATAACCCTCTGAGAACAATTCCTGGAACTTTGCCTTATAGAATAGAAATTCTCTTAGCTCATGGGGAGCTTGTTATTTACAGATGTGGCCACCAGATGGTGCTAGAAAATAAGGCTCGGAAGCTTAGAAAGGAGGAAAGGAGACAGTTGTGTAGGGCAGGCTCCCTCTTCTGTAAACTGCACTCTTGATGGCTGGGAGTTCTGGTTCCCGCCCCAAACCTTCACTGGTGCTCCTCCAGCGTGTTCCTTCTCCCTTTCTATTCTGTTCCACACACGTAACCAAGCCAACAGCCATGGGCCTGGTGATGGAACATCCAGTCTTTAGATAATGAATGACTATGTTGATTAGGGAGGGCAGGGGAGCCAATGGCAGACGTAAGGTGTTCACTCCGTTCCCATTTGGCTGTGGTGTCTCTCATGTTGTCTTTTGAAATTTCCACTCTCTGTCGGATGTCCCCATCTGGATTTGTTCATTTAACAAACAGTTGCTGATGTCCTACTTTCCATCAGGGTCAGGCACAATAAAGAGATGCCACCTGCCCTTCAGGGTGTTGGGAGGGTGGGGGAGTGGAGGGAGCGTGTCACAGTATGGAGGAGGTAACATGTGAAAATCATTCCAATCAAGTAGGGGTGAGTACATGGCTGCTGGAAGATTTATACTGACCCTCCCTGGCAGTGGTAGTGGAGAATGTCAGGGAAGGCTCCTTCAGAGATGCTACATCCAAGCAAGTCTAGAAGGATGAGCAGCAATTGGCCAGGCTAAAGGCAAGAGAAGGGAAAAGGTGTGCCTTCAGAGACACAAATATGTAGAACATAACCTGGCAAGTTCGAGGAACTGCAAGCTGCTCAGGCTGGAGCAAGCACGTTAGAAGGCAGGACTGATGGATGACAAGGGAGGGGCCAGGCCAGGGCTGAAGGGAACAGGGATCCTCTGCAGGATTTTAAGGTGGGAATAGGGTTGGGGAGAGCATCACAAGTATCTTGCAGTAACCTTAAACATATTCAAGGTGAACTCATCAACTCCTCTTGTCCACTTCTCCTCCTGACTCTCTTGTTTGGGGAATGGCACCAGTTACTCAAGCCAGAAACCTGGGGGTTACTCACATTTTAATTTCTCATGCACTAACCCCATCAGGTCCTACTGAATCCACCGCAGTTCAGTTCCTCCTGATTTTTCTTCTGGATTAAAGGCTAGTAACTAATCTCCCTAGCATATGCCCAGGGCCTCTCTGATCCTCTACATCCTACTGATATTTACTTTCCTAACTTCCTCAGCTTAAACATTTTCAATACTGCCTCAATGCCGGTTTGGACCAAGCCCAAACCCCAGGGTCTTTTCCAACTCATCTCTCCAGTATTTTCTCCCTAGTTCCCCTCTCCACTCCAGGATCCCCTCAAACCCGACTCTGCAGTGTTCCAGCTGCCCCCTTAGTCACGCCCCTGGGGTTTGCTGTGTCTGCTGTTTCTGGAAGGCCTTTACTTCAATCTGGCAAGCTCCTGCTCCATTTATCCTTCAAACTCAGCTCAGACAGCACATCTTTTAAAACGTTTCTCATATCCTCTACCTCCGAGCATTATCAGTCACTTACTTAACCTTGTTCCTGGAGAGGTAGCAATTATTATCAGTATCATGTTACCATTGTTACTTGTCTCCTCCAACAGGCTGATTTCCTTGAGGAAAGAAACTGTGTCTTACTAATTTTTCTCTCCTCAACACTCAGATCAGTGCTTGTCTCATAGTAAATAATGAATGTTATGTTTGTGTAATGAACAACTGAATGTGTGTGATATTATAAAATATATAGTCTTTGACCTCATTTCCTGACATGTAACTCTTAAAATCCTTAGAATCTCCACAGTGATGTCTCTTTGTACGCTAACGATTGACTGACGGCTGGCAGCCCCTAGATAGCTTCAGGATGGCAGCTGGTCACTGGAAAGACCAAAGCAGGATTAGAGGGTTGGGACTTTCAGCCCCATCCCCTGACTTCCGGGAGAGGAGAGGGGCCGCAGGTTGAAGTGATAGCCAATGCTTTAATAGATCATGCCTATGTTATGAGGCCTCCATAAAAATACCAAAAAACTGGGTGTGGGAGCTAATGGATAGCCATACACATGGAAGGTGAACAGGAACTCATCCACCTGCTGGGAGGACGGCACACCCCAACTCCACAGGGACAGAAGTGCCTGCTCTTGTCCTATGTATCTCTTCATCTGGCTATTTTTTTGCATCCTTTAAAATATCCTTTGTAATAAGCTGGTAAATCTAAGCATGTGTTTCTCTGACTTACTCTAGCAAATTAATCTAACCCAAAGAGAGGGTCAGAGGTTGGAGAAGCCAGTGGGAGGAAGGTTCCAGAGGCTGGGACTTGCTACTGGTGGGAGGGAGGGGGCTATCTTTGGGGCTGAGCCCTTCACCTGAGGTTTCTGAGGCTATCTTCAGGCAGACAGCATCAGAATGGGAAGACACACAGTGGTGTGCTCTGCAGAACTGACTGCTTGGTGTGTGGGGAGAAACCCCATGTATTTGGTCTCAGCAGCCTTCTCTATTGATAATTATTGTGGCTGAATGAGAACAGGAAAAAGCACTTTGAGTTTTCCACATTTAGAGTAAGTAAACACATGAAAAAACAAAAGTGTGGTGTTGCCATCCCTTTTCCTGAGGTTTGTCCTAACCATTTGGATCAGCTGATCGAAACATTTCCTCTTTAGAATCCACTAGCTTATGTCCCAACTTCTCTCTACCTCAGTATCTTCCTCTCTGGCTCCCCAAACCACTCACTCATCCCGAAATATGCCCCACATTTTCTAAGCTCCAGGTCTCTAGCCCCGGGCTTGCACTACTCACCTGTCTCAGGAATGCTTCCCTGATACATCGCAATCTTACAGAAAGTCCAAAAGAAGCCTTCCATTCTACAAAGGCATTATAGGCCCCTAATTCTCCTTTGCCCTTTAATCATTCCTGCCTCTCTGCTCCCACCACACTCTGTGCTTTCATCATTAACACTCGCTGTATTCTGCCTCAGGCTAGGTATTCTGGTCTGTGTCTTTCCACTTGTATCAGACCATGTACTCCTAGAAGGCAGAGGCCACACCTGTACCGTGGCGTGGTGCCTGGCATATGACAGGTAGTGCTGATGCATGAGAGGGAAGCTGATCGTTACTTCAGTAATAAAGTAAGAGCAGTTGAACAAGGGAAACAAACTTGCCCAAAGTAGATACTCAGAGGATAGGAGAACTCGTTCTAGCACCCAGATCCTCTGGACCTTCTGCTCCAGTGTGATCACTTTGAGCAAGAATCAAGTGGGGGAATTCCAAATATGCAGAAGTCTTATGGCCTTTACTACTTTCATGTAGACCTTAACTGAGGCCTATGTTACTCCGATGTTGCTTTTGTAGGATGGATACCTGGAAGTGGTAGATTTGGAAAGAGGCTTCTCCTTCAGGGCTGTAGGCTTATGGAAACCTCA